AATAAATATTAAATAAATAATAATAAAAAAGATAAAAAAAATATAATATAAAATTATAAATAATATATATAATTATTTTATTATTATATTAAATTACGTATTATATATTAAAATATTTTTTATTAAAATATTTTTTGGTAAATTATTTTATTATTACGGTAAATATATCGAAAAAAATTAAATTAAAGATTTAAAAAATAAAATTATAATATTTTTTAACGTAAAAAAAAAAGATTTTTATTATAGTAATAAAGTATATAAAAATTTAAAATATTTATATTATAAAAGTAAATAAATAATTAATAAAAATTTTGGTTAAAAATATTATTTAATAAAATTAATAAAATTTGTAAAATAATAAAAAATATATTTATTAACGGTATAATAATTATAATAAATAAAATAATAAAAAGATTTATTTTATAATATTAAAAATTATATTATTTTAATATATAATAATTAATATAAATTATTTAAAAAATAATTAATATTAATTTATAATTTATATAAATAAATATATTATTTTATTTTATATATAATTAAATTAAAATATAAAAAATAAAATTAACGAATTTTTAAAAAAAAAAAAATATATAAATTAAATATTTTAATATAATTTAAAATTTATAAATTTTAAATTAATAAAAAAATATCGATATTTTTTATAATTATAAAAAATAAAAGCGGGTATAAAAAATATAAAATATATAAATAAAAAAATAATATATAATAAATTTTAAAATTTATAATTAAAAAAATTTAATAAATATTTATAACGTTATTTTTTAATAAAAACGGTAAAAGTTAAAAAATTATTACTATTAAATTAAATAAAAGATGAAAATTTAATATAAATTAATTTAAAATATTTTATTAAAAAAACAGCATTAATTTTATTATATTTATTTTTTAAAATTAATATTAAAACGGTATATTTAAAAAATATATTTAAAGTTTATAAATAATAATAAAAATTATATTTATTTAAATAAAAATATTTTTATATTTTTAATTATAAATTATATAAAATATTATTTATATATTAAATTGTTTAAAAATATTAATAAATAATAATTATATAATTATAAAATGTTATTATAATAGTTTAAATTTTAGAAAAAATTATAAATTTAATATAATAAATATAAAAATTATAAAATTTAAATATATTATATATATTAATAAAAATTAATAAATTAAGTTTAAAAAATTAAAAGTTAAAAACGTTAAAAACGTTTTAATAAAATATATAGAAAAATATAATTATTTAGTATAATTATTAAAAAAAATTAATTATTTAAAATATTTTATATTATATTTTACGAAAATATAAACGATTTAAATAATATATTTAATTTTAAAAATATAATATAATTATTTTTAAAATATATATAAAAACGTTTATATTATAAAAATAAAATTAAAAATTATATTTATAATAAAGATTTAAATATAGTAAATAAAAATGTTATAGATTTAAAAAAAAGATATAATTAAACATAAAAAAAAACAATTTAAAAAAAATATATTTAACGTTTATTATAACATAATTTTAAAAAATTATAATAAGATTTTTAAAATATTAATAATTTATTTTTAAAAAAAGTTAAATAATAAAATAGATAACTTTTTTAATATAATATATAATTATATATTTATATATATATAGAAAAAATTTATAAAAAATGTTTATAATTTTATATAATTAAAATAAAATAATAAAAATTAATAATATAAATTTAATAACATAAAAAGTTATAAATAGTAAAAAATGGAATAAATAGTTAAAAACTATTTTTATTAAAATATAAAAAAATATAAAATAAAATAAAATTATTTACGGTAATTTTATTAATGTAAAATAAATATTAAAAAAAAAGTTTTTATTTATTAAAGAATTATATAAATTTAAAACATATGTTATTATAAAAGGTTTTATTTAATAAAAAGGTATTAATTATAATAAAATTAAAACAATAATAATTAAAGTTGTTTTTTAATAAATATTAATGATATTAATAGTTTTAAAAATGTAATATATAATATAAATTGACTTTATTACAGTTTATTTAAACAGTAAATTAATTAAGCAATTATTTATATGTTAATTTTGCTTTTTTTTGAATTTTTTTTAAAATTTCCGAGGGAAATAATTAAATATAAATATAAAAAGGAATATATTATCGAGTTAATAAATTTATTATATAAATTAAAATAAGTAAGTATAATATGGTAAATAAAAGTTTAATAATTATTAAAAAAATAAAGGTTTTAACTTTTTGTATTAAACAATGTTATATATATTAATAAAAAATTAAATATAATTATTATTTTATATGTAAACGACTTTATATTTTTTGGGAAAGATAAAGTTAAATTAAAAGAAATTAAATATAAATTAAAGTTGGAAATATTAATTATTAATTTAAAAAATGCGGTTTAATTTTTAAATATATAAATTATACGATTTAATTCGATAAGCGATATATGTATAAATTAAAAGAAATATATTAAGAAAATATTGAAAAAATTTAAAATAATGGACTTTAAAGTAGTTTTTATATTTTTTAATTTAATAATATTAAGTTAAATAATTAAACGTAAAAATTAAGTAAATAAATAAAAGATATTTAAATATGTGTTATTAATTAAAAGGTTTAATTTTTTAATATAAATTATAAAATTTAACTTAAGTTTTATTATATTAATTTAGGTTAAATATATGGTAAATTTATTATTTAAATACTTTATAAAAATAAAAAAAGTTGTTAAATATTTTAAAAATGTTATAAAAAAACGGATTAAATATAAAACATTAAATAAGAAATATTTATATAAGTATTATAATAATATTAGTTTATTTAAAGTAATTAATACCAATTTATCCGGAAATGTAAAAATTGAATAATTAACGATAAAAGTAATTTTTTTTATAATAAAAAAGCTAATATTTTAGTTTTTAAAATTATAGTTTATGGTTTATAAAAACATTTTAAAAGTAAAATTTATAAGATTAAATAAATGCGTTAATGACGTTTTTTAAATATAAATTTTTTTTATAAAATTAGGAAAAATATTTAAAAAGTTTATTATAATATTAAAAAATAATAATGGTGTTATAAAATGGGTTATTAATATAACAATTAATAAAAAAAACAAACATATACGCATTTAATATTTTTATTTAAAATAAAAAATTAAGGTAAAATATATATAATTAAAGTATATATAAAAAACTAAAAATTTTATAAATATATTTATTAAGTTATTAAATAAAAAAAATTTCGAGAAAGTATATGATTTATTAAAATTAAAAAATTTTTAATATATTTATTTAATTAAAAAAAGGTGTGAAAATAAACTAAAATAATTAAATAACAAATAAATATATTTAATTAAAAGGCTTTTATTTTTATGGGATAAAAAATATGATTAATATATATAAAATAAATAAAACGTAATTAAATAAAGTTAATTAATTAATTTAATATTACTTTTAACTTTAAATAAAATATTAAAAGTAAAATAAAGTTTAAAATTTTAATAATTAATATACGTTTTAATTTTTTAATTACTTTATTAATTTTTTATAAATATAATGGTTTATGCGTTTTTTAATTTTTTATTAATTATTTTATTAATTACTTTATTAATTACTTTATTTATTTTTTATAATAATTTTTTAATTAATGTAATATAAAATACCAAACTTTATTTTAAATTTATATTAATTGTTAAAAATATAATAAAAATTATTAAAGTAAAAAAAGTTTATATTAAATAATAACGAAAAAACAAGTAAATTAATTAAATATAAACGTTTTTATTATAAAAAATAAAAACTTTTTTTGTTTTTTCTTAAAAAAAATTAATAATAAAAATAATAATGTATATATTAATTATATTAGTATTAATTTAATGATTAATTTAATTTAAATATAAAAGTTTTTTAATAAACATTAATTTATTAAAAAATCTTTTAAAAATTAACTTCGTTTTTAATTTCATTTAAAATTTACCAATTAAAATATAATTATATAAACAAAATTTTATAATAATATTTAATTAATTTATATATAAAATATAACTTTTTTAAATAATTTTATTTTATAATAATTTTATTATTTAAATAAATTAACGTTAATTAACTTTTTATATTAATTTATATTTTATTTTTATAATAAAATTTTATATAAATAAAAAAACTTTATAATGTTAAATATATATATATAATTATAAATAACATTAATTTAATATTAAAAATCGTATTAAATGGGTAATATATTTCGTATAAATGTATAAATGTATAAATAATAAAATTAACAAAAATTACATTATAATTATATATATTTTTATATAAATTTATTTAACCGTATATATATTATTTATAATAACCCCGTTTAATTTATTAAATTATTTTAATTTTATTAATTTATTAAATAACTTTATATATTATTACCTTTTAATTAATTAATTAATTAATTTTATATATATATTAAAAATTATTTAAAACGATTTTATTTTTAACTTTTTTATTTTAAAATAATTACATGTAATAAAATAAAAGTATTAAATAAAAATATATAAGTTTTATATCATTATTAAATTAATTAAATTAAATTAAATTAAATTAAATTAAATAAAAAGTTATATAAAATAAATATATTAAAAAATAAAAATATTATTAAACGGGTAATATACGATTTAATTAATAAAACAACGCGTATTTTAAAATAATATAAATGGTTAAAATTTATTATATAATATAATTATATATTAACAATTTTATATAAAAAATTAAATATATATTAATATAAAATAACTTTATATATTATTTATTTAATACGTTTTTTATTACTTATTTAATATCATTTATAATAATATATATAAACATTAATACATATTATTTTTTTATTTATAAAATAAAATAAAACTATATCATTTTATTAATAAATTTAACCATTAATTATTTACATTTATTTTTATAAGTTAATATGTTTAAAAAACCTGGCACGGTAATTTATAAATAACATTATTCATTACATTAACCTTTTTTTTAACACCACCAATCCTTTACATTTTATTTATTTATATCACGTCTTTTTTACACTTAAGATGTTGTTTTATTTTATTACGCTTCTTACTTTTGTCACCCAAGCAGTAGCCTTTAACTCCACGGGACCTTTTGCACTTCACATTACAAGCAAGTCAAACTCATCAATTGATGGTATTGTTGTTGTTCTTTGCTCTTTAAGTCTTGCTATCCTGTCAACTTAACTGCTAAATTATTTCATAGGATATGCTGCAGCTTGCCATGCTGGCGCGGCCATAGAAGGCCTTTGCTACTCAGGTGGTGGTGGCGGGAGCGTGACTGAATTCTACTTCAATTACACTTCCTATAACCCAGACACGGGAGTCCCCTCGCAACCCGGCTGGATCACGTACTTGTTGAAGGCGGGTAGTAATAATGGTACTATTACTGTGCCCTCCTCATTACGTCTCGAACCGAGCTTTGGAAGCAACGTTTACACAGCTCTTATCTATCCTGGCGTTGAGGATGGCACCTCTGTTTACTTCTACCCGAATAACGGCACATTGTACATGAACGGGGGCTACGACGATTCGAGCTTCAACGCCACGTATCCTACCCCGCCTCCATCCCTAGGAATTCTCACTAACTTCCACTTATGCTACCAATTCACCGGGGGTTACTACTACCATTCAATAGCCTGGGTATCTACACAGCCGCCACATAATCCGTCATGTCAGCCTGTCAACCTGAGCATAGAAGACCTTTCATAGGAAGTCAGAGAGAGGAAGAAAGGATCGAAATTTGAGAGGCGGGGGCTGCGGGGAAAGCTGTGTTGTTTACTTTCTTTATTCGAAGCTCTATGTAAGAGTTTACGTAGTAATATGACGTCTCATGCCCAAGGGTCAATAAGATCTGGATCCGGTCTCTTGGTTAAGCATCGCTTAGAGCCTTAAGCCACATTTGTGGCTGGAATATTTCACAGATAACTAACTGTACTAACTGTACTAACTGTATATGCACTGTACTGTCCGAGGATGTTGATGTGCTAATTACCACTCATTTACAGAGCTATGACGTTAATTGCAAGCGTGGTCATTCAGGGACGCACAGAGCGCGTCGCGTTTATTAGTTACCTATTTAAATGTTCTAAAATTTAGATCAGGTAACTATGCGGTGTAGAACTTGACTTTTATATATCATTTTATAACTCATACCTCATACCTCATACCTAATGCCAAAAGACATTTAGTTCTGTTAAAGTTTTATATTATTCCCGATACGATGCCTCCCAAACGCCCTGCAGCTGGCGCTAGCACCTCTAGGAAGAAAGCTAAGACATCGAGTGATGAGCCGCCGAAAAGCAAGCGATGGTCCGCCGTTTCTGGCTCGGCTAATGCCGATGCCGACTACAAAACGATATGGGAGAAACCCGACAAATGGTATTCGTTTGTAACCATCTGCCCGCCAGTACCGGACGATGACGATGACGAAGATGACGAGGAAGAAGAAGAAGAAGAAGAGGACGAGGACGACACCGAGGATGAAAGCAGGGATGGGCCCAGATGCACCCGAAAAGGTTGTATATGCTCCAAACCAGCTGGGGAGAATCCAGATCACCCGTGGGTTGTGAGCCGGGCTGGCTATCGGAAATATTCCACTCAGGAAATCCATTTCTCATTGCGTAACCCTGATTACTTCGATATGTACACTTACAACGACCACGTTGGCTACGGATGCGTTCAGATTGTGCAGAACTTGGTGTTAGATTATGTCGAGGCAGTAGAGCGCGGCTGGAGAGAACAATGGGCTGTTTGTGAAGGTCTCGGACTTTGGTTACTGAGCTCAGCTAGCGGTAGGATGATGATGTAAAACCCCGCCAACTTGCATCGCCGTTTCGTTGATTCTCTGCTAACATTGTTTTTCATTTCGTTAGGATTGATGATGGCGAATGTGTCGATCAAACTATGCGTCTCATCGGCCGTATGTTCCTAGATATGCTGGCGCAACTCGATGGCCTGAATCTGGTTGGCGACGCTACCGACGTCAAAAGCTTAGGCACCATCATGGCTATATACTTGAAAATTGCTTCAGAAGTGCGCTCGATTGGTGGTATCCTTGAGGAAGACGACGACGACGACAAGGGAGGTCGCAAAACGAAATTTCAGGCCAACCACTTTGATGATGCAATTCTTTCATACGCCAATCAGCGAGGTGTTACATTACAGGGTCCTGGAGATATCGACGAGATCACTGCGAATCTCAAGGGAGAAGTAAAGTTACCTAAGAAGGACGCAAAGGATCCATGGGGCTTTAAAGCCGCATTGAAGATATATGAGAAGAATTACGGCAAAGGGAAGCCCCACGCTATCGGTGGCGATGACCTAGATATCACAACTGTATGTTACACCTCGGAGTCTTTGTTCTCCCCCCTACCTACAGTAAATGCTAACTCTTATCAAAGTGGACTAGCTCTCAGCGGAAGGAGGCGAATTTTGACCACAAGGACCCGTTAGGGAAGCGAGAGATAGACGCGCTCAAAAAGGGGATGGTGATGCAACTTGGGTGATCTCGTCATATGAAATTGAGGAATTTGTGAAATACGTGGGTTGGTAATACATTGCGGATGTTGCTATAAATTAGTTGGGGCTGCCCTGTCTCTCATGGGAGCAATGTAGTATATATTTCAAGTCATGGTTAAGTTGATCACATCATGTCTTCGTCGAGCGTACATGCATGGCATAGCCTTTGCAAGAGGATGGCAAAAGATATCCCTGATGCAGGACTATGTTTGATGTTGTGACGTTCCGCGTTTCTGTTAACTCCCTGATGAGCATTAAATGCTTATAATTATCTTGCAAAACGAACCCAGTAGCAAAATGAACAACTCCACGTTGCATTCTAGTCTAGTTAGTTGTATTATTCTTGAATGTTTAGTTTCTTGTCTAATCGCCTAAGTCCATTGCATTGAAATAGACTCAGGGTTGAACTCGTACTTGTCTGATTGGCCGATCGGCGGTTGCGGCCGATCGAGCTAAAATAAACTTCGATTGTTTGATCAGGGAGAGGTCTTACCTATTAAGGGCTGACCAATGGAATAATATGCATCCCGAGTCCCTTTGTTGCACGGAAGGAAGGTAGGAGTTGCTGTTGGGGTTACACCACCAACCCGCTTCGGCACTTGTCCGAACCTTCCCTGTCTTCTCAAGCTCCGTTAAGCCGACGCAACTCTGCAAGTAGCTGCAAGTAGCTACAATCATCTGTGATTTATACGCGTATGCGAACGTCGGAACCGAAAATATGATATTATCAAAATGTCGGAGACGCACCGACACCTGGGTATAGCTTGTGGGAACCCCCCTGACACGGTAGTCTATCATAATAGTCATACTTAGGTACCTATGAGCTGATCCATGTTAGACGGAACAAAGGACAGTAACTTTTGAACTATGGGCTTTATCTAGCGGCCTAGTTGTAGATATGCGGTCCCTTGTTAGATGTGAATACAGACTAGAGGATTTCGTACAATACCATTGCAGGAGCTCAGGATCATCACCCATGTTGGTACAACGCTCTCCTCATACACCACCACGCAGCCGTGTTCATGATACTCTAACCTGAAGGAAGCATGGTCTTCAAATCCGAATTTTCGCTTGTGTAGATATTAACACCGACGGGCCCCCTAAATTAACAGTAGTATCCTTAAGAAGCCCTCTATACGGTCGGGAGACAGAACCAGGTCAGCCCTTTACACTAGATGGCAGAGACCGAACTCGCCTCCCCGAGCGACACATTCACACCTGGTGCCGGCCACTGGGTAGATGCCGTCATATGGGCACTTATTAGCCTCTCTACCGTCTTCTTAGGACTTCGAGTATTCTATAAATCTAAGCGAGGCCGAGGACTCTGGTGGGACGATTGGGTTTTGATAGCATCATGGGTTAGTAATTAACCTCGTTAATACTTAAGGTATATCTCGGCTCACTCATCATTATGATCATTCTAGCTCGTCCTTATTGCCTCGGGAGCACTTATCAGCCTCTGTGTATCAGCAGTTTTCATTAAACGTGACCAAGACAACGGAATGGGCGCCCATGATGTCGGCCTGCTAAGTACGATTGTAAGCGATTTACCCTTTTATCTCCTCTTATCCCTTTTGCTCTCGTCTTGTACAGCCGACTGCCCTCTGAAGTTTCTATTATCATATATGACCAAGTGTTGACATAAACGACAACAGGCGGGGACCTTATTCTTTGTTTCGGCAATATGGAGTAAGACCTCCTTTGCTATAACGCTCACTAGGATCGCGGGTCCTCGGCTAAAGATCGTACTTCGTATGATTATGATCTCTATGAACACGGTTACCTGTGTCAGTTTGATACTCCGATGGGTACAGTGCCGGCCAGCGAGGATGATCTGGGACTCCCACACCACCGGGGTTTGCTGGGATAGAAATCTTATCCTTGCGTTCACCATTTTTGCTGCTGGTATGTACACGGCATTCATATGGTAACGAATGATTACTGATCAGTGCTAGCCTACTCCGCATTCATGGACTTCGTCCTGGCTGCTCTTCCATGGCCCATTATAATAAAATTACAGATACGGACCAGCGAGAAAGTCGGTGTTTCTATCGCAATGAGCATGGGTCTTTGGTAAGTTGGGTGCTTCTGGTGCTTCTGGTGAAAACAACGCTCTTACTCGCCCATTCTCTTACATGGCAGCACAGCGCGGGTATAACTTCAATCGTCAAATGCACCAAACTTAGCGTTCTCCGGAGTGACGACTTTGGTGGTAAGTAAAAGCGTTCAATCCCAGGAAGCAGAATGGTTCTAACATAGATGATACGTATAGATAACGTCTTTGAACTCGCAATATGGTCCGTAGCGGAAATCGCCACTACAATAATGGCGGCATCGATCCCTGTACTTCGTTGTGCACTGATGCGCGAGACAGCGGGCTCTATCCACTTGAGTTATCCTGTTACATTTATCAGAGACCGTTCCCGAAAGGTAGTAAGTAGGGTACGAAGCAACCATGTCTCGTTATCCGCATCAAGACGCTCTAAGATGGTAAAGTCGCCTGACGGTGTTATGTGCGAGGACAGAGCCACTTTTGATGGGAATAATTATGATAACCGGATTTTCAAGATAGAGAAGGTCCATGTCCAATATAGTAGTAGGGGGGTTGGAGACAGCATCGACCTTGAGCTAGAAAGGATTCCACGGTCGTATTCGCCGTGGGTATAATATAGACTTCATATGTGTAGCTAATTGTAAAGATTTTATACGTAGAGCCTCTAGTAAATATGCTCTCCGGTATTGGAGTTAATATGTACTTACCTTTCGAAGGAGAACACATAGAGAGGTAGCCTTTGAGAGTTTCGTTTTACATGTAGTTAGACTTACTTAGGTAAGTATAGGAAGCAACACTCTAAATGAGCATCCGTAAACATGAGTGTGACCTGTCATGTTGTCTGTGAAATCGCATGGTTTCATCTATAGATATCATTAAGTTGATTGTGAATAGGGGTAGTTAAAGGATTGTAAAGCCTACAGATTCCTTGTTGGCTGATAAGGGGCCACCGTAAAAGAACCCCTTTGCGCATCACATCATCTTCTATCATATGCAGCGTAAATTGCATTGATGTTACTATAAATTGTTAGTCCATACCACTCAGGTACGTGTATAAACAACTATAAACAACAAGCTTGTTTGGCGCTAAGTTAGATTTTCTATGTGAATAATTTATTCTCAATATTTTATTATGGCTCTGTGATTGAATATATTTATTATGTACTTGTGGTCATGGCAGCCTATAAGCATGATGAATTTGTATGTTGCTGGTTGACATACGATGGTGCTTTGGTTCTGCCACTAGGTAACTCCCCTCGGGTATAACACCCTAACTAACTATGGCAAGTTGAATTCCTGAACGTACACTGTAGGCGTGATGGTATAGCTAATAGCTAATTATTTGCGGATGGTACGTGAGAAGGCCATTGCTCCACGTATGCATGCTTAATTGATTGACACTAAGTCCCCCGTGATACAACTGACTGTTGGAATCGTAGTTGAAGGGACCAGGTCGACATGCTCTAACCAAGTGGTGATGGTTGTATAATCTAATAATGACAGGGGTAACGCCGCCCAATGCAGATGAATGGTATCTTAACTCATTATCGCTTGCTGTTCACTACTATACCATAAACGATTCTCCGCAGCCGCATTCCTCCTCTATGCATAGGTTAGCATCTAATCGCATCTGCCAAGTAAGAAGTATAAGCGTTATATGAGAAATACTGACTTATGTTTGGATTCCGGAATATGAACCGTTGGCTCAGCTTATCCTCAATCCAGTCCATTTCGCTTCCTATTATGCTGAATAGCGCCTTGCTATCGATCAAGACCTTTACTCCATCTTGCTCGACTTCCTCGTCAAAGGCTCCGGGCTTGTCCACGTAGTCCAAGTGATAGGATAGACCGCTGCATCCCCTATTGCGCACGCCCACCTTGATTAACTTTGGCTCTGGTTGGTCTAGCAAGCCGCGAAGATGTTCTACCGCTGAAGGAGTGAGCTTTAACGCGGCTTTGCGTGGTCTGAGCTTGCGCTTCGGAGGGGCTGGTTTCGGCTTCTGTGCCTCCTGTTCTGTGAAGGCAACATCAGGATGTGTAACTGCTTCTGGCTGAGGTGGTGGTCGTGTCTCGTGAACGTTTGGTATGGGACTGGCGATGGAGGTTTCTGGTATAGGTTCGTTGCGCGGTTGCGACGATCTACTCGGGTTTGTATTTAGGGGGTAGGGTTGGTATGATGGTGTTTCTCGGAGCTTTTCCGAAGGCGCATACCATGGTTGATAGTTAGAGAACTGTCGCAAGAGGCTTTCGCAAGGGAGTAATTTCGGGGCCGATGTGGCGATGCGACGACCGGACAAGGTTGTCCAAGTTCGTGATAACGCTATGCGAGGGGAATTCATCATGCTACAGCAGACAACGGTAATGTAATGTATAAGGGACGTAAAAGAAAGATTGCGCCCATAAATTCCTAATGAGACGAAAGTAGTGAATTAGATTGTAGGTTTGATAAGTGGTTAACTATCGCAACCAATGGCAAATTCAACGGTGTGGCTTGTAATAAATTGTAAATGGTAAATTGTAAATTGCTTTGAAAGCAGCTTTAGAGCCGGACGTCTGATGACATCGGTCGATAAGGTTTGCGTCCCGGCTCTGACCGGACCAATCAAGGGTCTTCTATTGGTCAACCACACTAAGTTTACCTACTTCGTACCGGTCTGATGGAATTACTAGCGGAATAAGGCTTTTCCCGGCAGCAGGAATTGCCTTAGGTACTGCTTACCTACGCATGTGAATGCATACGTAATCTAGTGGATACTTACGGAATACATATGTATTGGCTTAGTAGATTACTAGACACGGCAAGGGGTTAATAACCGTGTACAGTGCGGGACACGGATTGGATTTTACAACTTAACACATTACAACCAATATCCAGACGAATGCCTTCGATTGCCATTTCTTAATGATTGCGACGATACACCCTCGAGTTGGCGATTTAAGGATTTAGCATAGTTGCAATTGGCAAAAAGAAGATCCTCTTAAGAACCACTCATATAACACGCGACTCACGGCATATCACCTACTCTGCTACTGCGATGATACCATCTATATCTATGGTATAATATAAACTGTGTTCATGTGTCGCTCGTTCATACATCGTCATCGGTCATGGAAGTCTCGCCCTTAACCCAACAGGCCCGACCTGAAACCTTCCAACCGAAAGTAGATCAGCTGTACGAGGCGTTATTCAAGGTTCGGGAACTTCGGATTTCTTTTTGATCTTAGGATTGGGCAAAAAGCTGACAATGGGAGTTCAAGGTATGTCGGCCTGTTCTAGAAAACACCCTGTCCATCTAGTCCTCGCTTAGTCGCTGACTCTTCTATCGCTTGAGTAGGATGATGTTGATACGGACGGAGAGAAAGCCGAGGGCTTCTGGCGAGAGTTCTTCCTCCTGAAGCCCGACCGACCCTTCTTGCAACGAATCCTAGCCGCCCTAGGACCTGACGACCTAATAAACCTTCAGTCGCAAACCCGACAGCTCTTCTTCCGGGCTGTAGAATGCTTGAAGAAAGGAAATGGTGTAGCCGACTTACATGCTCTTGAGGTATATAATTAAATCGAACTCTGAAATACGTTTTAATGAACATATCTCTAACTAATTACATACGCAGACCTTAACAACCTTCTTCTCCGCCATTCTTCCTAAGAAATATACAAATCCGAGCTCGGATATCATAGCTGTGCTAGCGGGCCTAGATCAGGTTGATGCCGTCTTCACCGATTTTGTAGGAGCTCTAGATGGGGTAATTCGCAATGGCAAATCAAGTAGGCTGATATCCTGCTTCGTGAGCTGGGTGAGGAAGATACTGATAATGACGGGAATATAGTGGAAGTTCGGCAAAAAGCTGTGGATGTTGTCTTATCCATCACCTCGGGTGCATACCAGACAAGTATTCTGACATATTTCATACAGCGGGATCTCTTCCCCGCCATAATGAAGGTTGGTCTCTTTCCCACCGTGAGTCGGGACCCGAGACTGACTTAGCCAAGCTCATTCAAGACTCGGAATCTTCCGAAAAGGTCCTGGAACCATTTACTTTATTGGGCCTATTGGCAAATTACAACAAATTTGAATTTCAGAACCCCTACCAGCTACGACTCAACGATTTTGTTAATGAGGCTGCTATACGGAAAATCGTTCGATGTGTCGGGCACACTTGTCGAAATTTAAGAAGTCAATACGTCGATATTTTACAGGATTTACCTGAAGGGTGGTCCATCAGTAATACCCTAACCATGATCGGACTTGGTGCTATTACTCCTGGTGCGAAGGCACACCAGAAACCAGCATACGACCCGGAGGTAGCCAAGCAGATGTTCGCAAAATTGTAAGATGGCATCCCATTCACTCCAAGGCCTCGGCTAACCTATCTAGGCCCGGCGAAGATGCTGCTGTGCTACTAGGTGCATATGACTTCAGTCACGCAAATAAGCTATTCTGCTTCACCCTCGTGACATTACCTGCTGAAAAGGGCGAAGAGCAACCTATTTCTAGTTTCCTATCACTGACCTCTTACCTCCTTCAGCATGCATTCCTCTCTACCAGAGCCACAAACTATGCTCATCTCAGTCTAATGGTTTTCCGGCTTCTTATTGAGGACCAGCTGCTATGTAAGCGAATATGTAGCGATGAGAGTAAAGTAGCCGTCAGACTCTGCCGTCAACGGCAACCATTCCTGCCAGCTGTCCGGGGAGAACGCATCTTGGCGACAAGCGTTCTAGACACCATGATAGATGGCATCAACCATAATCTGCGCCGCAGACTCGATGTCAGCCTCTATACTTTGTGTGTTGGTATCATGCTGCGTATCATCTCGTACCTCTCGCGGTCACGGACAAGATTGCAATACCATTGGTCTGAGCTGTTTCGCTCTCTGCTGTCTCTTATCCGTTTTCTCACTACCTATGCCTCTGATCTCAAGGGGCTTTCCCATTACGAATCCCTCTTAGATCTGGTCGTGAACCTATTGGCTCTTTCTCTCTCCGCAGGTGAAGCCTTTCTTCCTACACCTGCTGCCTATGACGACCTATTCTACAAAGTTGTTGAGAGTGGCGAGATCCTAGTAAAATTCCGCGACACCTACCGCCTATCAAGCCGACCATCGAATTCAATAGGCACGCTTATTAGCGTGAGTACGCACTACAAGACCATGTTGGACTCGGATAGTTCCAAAAAGAACCTCACTAGTACTGAGGTGGTGGAGGTGATCAAGCAGGGTTACGAGACGTTGAGTATCCAGGCGAGGGAAGGGCTTGATGGCTGGGAGAGGTATCGTGAAGCCGATGAACGGACACTTCTTAAGAAGATGGCACGAGCAACGGTAGCAGATGTTCAGGTCATCGTCCAAGCCTAAGTTATATGGGCAGGACGATCAGGCTAAGATGTGAATCAGAATGTGCTTATGCAAAATTAGAAGCGAGGAACCATAAACGCTGGTGCTCTGTGTAAGATACTACATGAGTCATAAAGTGCCGTGGTGTTTGCCAGAAAAAGATATAAGAAACCGTGATAGGAATTCAGCGAATGGGTTCGGTACTGTGGAAGGACCCTGATTTTGTGGGCGACCCATGACTAACAAGATCATGCCAAGAATATTGATCAAGTCGTAGGACTTTGTAAGAGATCCAACCTTGGACGAACGGTGAAACCGTGGGGGTGATAGAATCACCGTGGGGGTGATAGAATAGGGTAGTATCGCCAAGGTTCCATCACAGTCTGCATGGCGTAACGATGAACTACTAATAGTGTGAGAAGATATGTACATATCTAGAATTTTACATGATGATGAGCCAAAGTTCTACTACTAGTCGTATAAAGGCCGGAGATTTTAGTTTATAATTATTGATTTTCTAACCCTTTTCGTTGTCTGAACTGTCGTTATGGGTCAACTTTGGAACCGCGTGTGCTAGTTTTCTACCAATAGCCCTATGCTATCCTATGGTAGACGTCTATTAGATAATTTAGCTAGGTGGGCTGTTTTCGTGCTGATGTTCGAGGTAGGATCGCATATTGTAGGCCTTCCCCTGGCACGTTGTTCTTATTCGCGGACCCAAGCTTCCAGTTTCGTGGATCACCATACTATGTACGTTATTGCTGCGCTTATTAGTCATATGAGGATGAAGTTCTACAAGCATTAGTACCTACGATACCCGTTAGAATCTATAAGCGATGTCTACCTATGTTCCGCCCTTAGCGACTACCGGCAACGACTACGCCCGAATACTATGGACATTTGGATACCAAACCGCGCCAATTTCGGTGTTCCGTGGTGTCCCTTCATCGGTGTAAGACTACAGATCCCCATCGTTATCTGCGAGAATGCTACGCTATGTAAATCGGGGAAATATAGACAGCGGCACGCAACATGCAACCAAAATTATTCGTTATTCGTGCTTGCTAGCACCGTCTGAAGCACCATAAATTTCCCCATCCCATCTTCCCATCCTAATCGGCCACTCTCCTATCTCCCATACCCCCCCAGCACATAACCTATTAGATGCGAGATGCGAGATACGAGTGCCTTCTCGTAGCTTGGAGAAACTCCCATGTAACCTCTACGCTCAACTCTGACTAGGTGACGCGATAGTAGTCTAGTGGTTATGAGAACGATGTGATATCATCTATAAGGAGCAGTTGTTTGTTCGGGCGTATAAAGCTGAAGGATAGTCTATTATAATATATCTTACAGGCTCGCAAACAACTTCTTGGATACATCCAAACTATAATACATAACTAATATAAGCATCTCCTCAGGTATGTGCAAATGTTTACTATTTATACCCGGGGCCTGTCCTAAAATCCTTCGCTAGACATCATCATGTGCGACTGGGAACGGACGCTCTGCTCCAACTGCAACCGAGTAATCCAGGACAAATGCATCGCCCCCTGCCTGGACGATTACCACGCAGTATACACCGACGGAGCGAATGTGCAAATTGTTTATAGAAAATGCGGGCCTTGCAGCAGACCTACACCTCCGCCGTGATATCATATTGAATATCATATTGACGAACTCGCACGATAAGGTTAGATGATCCCTTTGGAGTACGAGGGCGGACGAAGCAGCGTGACTACCAGCAGCAGCATCCAATATCCCGACTGTCATACGGAACGCAGCCAGTTAGTTTACCGCACGAAGATTGTGCTTCATCGTGGACCCGTGGTTGGGGTAGATGTGTAAGCGGTAGTTAGTGGTCGGCTAGCATATTAGGTGCTAACTTTTGTGTGGTTGCTGCCAACTGGTGGTGCTATTTCTAATGGCCAACATGCCTATCGGGTTGACTTTTCTACGTAATTATTTACCAGTTAGTTTGGAGTCTATGGTGTTGTTATTCTATCCTCGGTGCATATAGCTATATTCGACTAGCTACTCTACCTACCTTAGGTACAACAGCCGAGTTACATATGTACTATAAGATGGGAGAGCCTTGAGGTCAGTCTCGGCTACTTCTATTAGGGATTACTTTGATCCTATCCAATAACTGGCTTTGAGATGTCAAGCTAGGTTCTTTGTTCTTTTCTGATATGTGATCTACCTACTGTTTATTACCCTTGATTTCCGAACACACCGCCTGCATTTACAACATGATATATATGTTACCCCTTAACGACAAGTAAATATATCTCTAGTTAACGTTGCGGGGGCGAATACTACCTCTTGTAGATCGTCAGCAACCAGTCAGGCATATCTGTCAGCCTGATCACTAAGTTTTAAAACAGACAATGTTAAAATTGCTGCTACTTGTAGGTAGTACAAGACCGACCATCAACAATACCAGCTCATGCCTCACGCATAAAATTTCCTAGGCCAGATATTCATTGCGGTCTTCAAGCCCTCTACTACTGGGAGGCCCGCATGGACAGTTCGCTCATCTCCTGTGCCATTTTGAAACAAATTAACCCAGAACAGTGCGTTTCCAGCTACAGGTTTGAAGGCTAAGCCACCGTCCTCGTGGTTCCTCCAAAGCCGCTGGCCATTCTCATCTGCCTTTGATAACGCAGTTGTATTCACAAAAGGGAACCACGTCTCACCACCCGTGCACTGATCCTCTAGAATAGCAAAGAAGCTGGCGATGCGATTCCAGCTCTTTCCCCGCCCTAGCATACCCCGCCGTGTTGGCTGCGGCCGATCGTACCAGTCGTGGTGTCTGTTGAAGCGCTGGCCTGCAGTGTAGCGTACGAGTTGTGGCGGGCCAATATCATCTCGAGAAGGTTCTAGCATCACACCGAGGAAACTTTCGGCACGAGCCAGCACACATTGTACTGCAAGGTTGTCGCGTGGTAGACCAGCAGACGATGAGGTCCGATCTTGTGTACCCTGATTATGACCGGTTTTATAGACTCGAGAGGGAGCGAACGCGGAGTGCCCGGCTTCGAGCAGAGCCTTTATCTCGGTCGGCGCAAGGAAAGAATCAATATAAATAATAAGGGGATCGAGAGAGATGATCTCGGTCGTGTAATGGTGGGGAAGACAACTGAAGGATGATGCAACTGGTTCAATGTCTTGACTGAACATATTAGAAACCAGCGAGGAGAGTGAAGCTAGATACGGAGATATCGAAATGATAGATGGGGATGCGATTTGGTAGATGACCGGTGCTAATAGGGCGACTATGGCGACAACTAATGCCGCAATACCTGAAGGTCGAGATGTCGGGGCCATGATAGTTTACAATTAACATAATATATTTTCAAAGTAGTCGACGCTATAATATTGCAACTTACATCGATGTAGCTGTCAAACATAGTTATAAGTCAAACGCGAGCCAGAAATAGCTGACGACTCTCCGAGACACCCTAAGTAGGTTTCTACAACATATGATCCCCTCGACGTACTCGGAGTGCCTTGTTCCGATAGAATCCTCTACACAGCTATTGAAGCTAGCCATTGCCGGTGGCATGAGTGGTGACACCGCATGCAGACCGAAAAGCCTGGATTCTCCGAAATGGAGGAGCGCGACCCATTGGAGAACTAAGTACAAAATTGGTTACCCAATGTGACATATCAACCCATGCCCATGCCCGGATGGAACATTTATGAACGTCAACCTACCTATGAGAATTAATCATTGTCACTAATTATCAAGGGTGTGCCAACCATGATAACCAAATTCATACTACTAACGGTATATGTGACTAACTATATAAAAGATAAATAATAATGTTAATACTATCCCGTACTCGACGCGGTAAAGATTTTCTGGAAAGGGACTTATATAAAACTTTCTATCTTATTATTGGGGATTGGGGTTATAGAAGGAGAAATATCATACGGTAAGGTTATTACGAACTTATAGATTACTATCTACCTACGCAGTATACATATTGCTAACCCCAACATGACAAAATCATAGCATTATTCTATAACCGTTGATAAAGAAACAACATCTCGGTTGAAGCTTCATCTGCGGCGTAACGTATACCTACAGGGCAATATAACCGTCGCTACCAAATAATACGAATTAGGAAACCAAGACAAAAAGACAAAAAAAGGGGCCAAGCAAAAGATTAACTATGTCTCTCGATCGGGGAATTGAACCCCGGCCACCTGCGTATTTTTCATAACAGAAATGAAAGAATGACAAGCAGGTATCCTAACCACTAGACGAATCGAGATTTTTAACATCGCAAATGTTGCAGACGCTAGTTGGCTTAAGTGGAGATGGTATACCATTTTTATCATTTAATTATATAAAAGTTTAAAACTAAAAGCCAGATGGACCGTGGAGCATTGTTCTACTAGCTTTATCTCAGAAAAGCGCATCGTGAGTGTCTTTATATCTTGGTGGAGTACGGATTACGTTTAGACTATTATTGTCTGTCACTTCTACCTGCTTACGAATTGCTGGGTACAATAAATATTACGAGACTTTCCGATCACGTTCCGCTATTATCGAGCAGTACTTGATTTATGCATCTACACATTAGTATCAAAGAAAAGGGGCACAACTTTTGATGCGCCAAGGACTGTGCTCAAAATAAGAATTGTCATACCAAGCACAGCTCCACATTAGATTAAATATTACATGGAGGCATCCTGGGCGTCCTGAGCATCCTATTAAGATCTAGGCGCATGCAACTCTCAGAATGTCGGGATGTGAGGTGGACCCTCAGCTACTTCTACTACGTCGGCAGTATATGCAACTGTTCGAGCCCGACTTTCTCGCTTGGCCGCCAGCTAAGTTCCTCAAGAACGAAGATGTACAAAAATGGTTATATAAACACCTATTCGATGAAAGCAGAAATTCAAGGTTGCCGCCTGAGAGCTATCAAATGCGGGTTTTGAAGCAACTCGTCACAAAGGTTGAGAAAGTGATAGCAAGTTCAGAGCAAGATGTAAGTTTCCCGTTCTAGTCATTTAGTTTTCCCGAAATTCATTAGACACAGGCTTAACTATACTAGGAGGTCTCTAAAGAGCTTACGACGTGTCTTGAATCCTTCGTGGCTAGAGGAATCTCACCAGAATTCCAGGCAGCTCAGGAAGAGGCATATGTGACATTCACCTGCCTACCAGAGAAGTATAACCCAGACGACAACCATGACTACCAATCAGAACCTACAATTACACTACTCGAACGGCGACACTTGGTATCAGGTTCGCAAATAACGGGTTTCCGGACCTGGGAAGGATCTCTTCATCTAGGCTCGTACTTCCTAACTGATCCTGGGTCGCGCATTGTCCGTGGAAAGAATATCTTGGAGCTGGGCGCTGGTGCCGGGTTTCTCAGTATCCTCTTAGCTAAGCATTTACATGCAAATCACGTCACTACCACAGACGGCGATGAAGGAGTCGTTGAAGATATGAAGGAAAATTTCGCACTGAATGGCCTTGATGACCAAGAGAAAGTCCGAACGGGAACATTGACATGGGGCCGCAACCCTTGGGAGACGTGGATCAAAAACGATTGTGACGCCAACCCATATGACATCGTAATCGGCGCTGATATTGTAAGATCGCATTTAACTTTAATCCAATAAAGACATGGAATGCTAATATATTGTACAGACATATGACAAGATAGCAATATCGGCGCTAGTATCGACGTTGCATCAACTCATCGATAGGAGCCCGAAGCTTAGAGTTGTTATAGCTGGTGTCGTCCGGAATGCTGAAACCTTTCAAAGATTTAGAGACGAATGCGGTATGTGTTTGTATATTCTTCTGTGTAAACATAGATTTGGTGACACTGACGGATCACTCTACCACCCATAGTCCAGCACCACTTCGCCGTGGAAGAGATCAAGTTCGAACCTAAGCCGATGCGTCAACAAAAATCACTCTTCTATGCGGCAGCCATGCCCATTAAAATATTATCCATTGCTGGGCCTGGTTAAGCTGCTCGAATTTATATAAGCCCGGGGTTGCTGGAGTTAGTTTTGGCCTAGACAAGGGATCTGAGCTGGTAGTCGTTCCTTAGGGCAGTGCATATAGGCAAATTACGAGACGCTGTGTCCCATGACCTGAGACTTTAAATGGCAATCTAATGGTATAGACCATGTTGAGGTAACTTTGCGCTATGATGTGAAGTAAAGTGAATAAACGAGTCCAGACACCAGCTCCTCTTGGCTCCGGAATACTCGTGTACACAATGCAAGCCAAGAAGATACTAGGATATGATCTGTATTGCCTTAGGTATGTTAAACTTTAATTTTATACACGAAAGTATTTACTCTCGTCTATTAGCTATTACTAGTTATAATTAAGCTAGAATAGCATACGCCAACGCCGAAGCGACAGCCCAGAACCCAAAGCTCCATATATCAATACTGCTTCTAGCGATACTAGCTGCGATACTACTTCCAGTTTCCGAAGCACCCCCTCCAGTGTTCGTCGCAGATGGGGAGGGTGTAGCCGACGAAGAAGAATTGCCTTGGCCATTCTCACCATCGTTATCGTCGCCGAAAAACTCGGGAAATAACTGAGTCGAGTTTTTATCTTTGATGATGCCGTTTATGATGACAGCTGTGCCGTTCAGCACACTCTCGATCTGTTCCTCGGTACACGTGGACGTGTCGTATATAAAACAGAAGTGTAAATGGTCCGGGGGGTCCTCATTCTTAATTGCCCAAGTGTCATCCGGCCCCTCAGTGGCATATTCAGTAGTTTCGACAAGATCAACTGTGCCGGTCGCGATGTCCTTGTTAAATAGGGCGCGATAGAACATTTTGTATGCCGTCTCGGGCTGGTACGCTGGAACTTCGTGGCCTGCCTCGTACACGCGCGAGAAGGAGAAGTTACCGTATTGCCGGACTTGTCCTCCAATGTATGTATCGTTGATGACGATATCTGTGTACCCTGCATCATGGAACTTCTCGGTGTTCGTGTAGTTCACGGCTAGACTGACGGCTTCGCCACCGATCCAATTACACGCGAAGTCTCGGTCACCATACATTAGATGCACTTTGATCCCATTTTCGAGTAGGAAAGCAAGGTCTTCAACCCATCCCGGCCGGGGATAGTCACCAATTGCCCTAAAAGCGTAAGCGACGGCGCTTGAGGACTGGGTAAAGTTGAGGGGAATTCCGAGTGCTTTTTGAACATGAGGTTGGTTGAGGTATAGATTATAGAACGGAGCCGGGAATGGGTTAGGATCAATTGAGGCGTAATCGTAGTAGTTACGTCCCGAGTAGTCGAGGTAAGGATCGCGGACGTATCCGGAGCAAAATGTTTCGGCGTCTGAACACACCTTGTTGACGGTAGTGTTAATCCCGATATTGTCGGGATCGTACTCGAGCGCCAGGGCTCTGCAGTCGTTGATCTGGTCGCGGCAGCCCCCGGGTTTCTCGAGAGCGTCTACCATCTGTAGATAGATAGTCTCATTGACGGTCTCGAGGCCGTAGGTATTGTTAAACGCGATGTGCGGATATGCGGGCCATTGTATTTGGCGATCGATGCACGAGTTGATGAGGATGAGCGTGTCGAGGTTAATTATGTAGTTCTCGCCATCATCATCATTCCACGTGCCGTTCTCGATCTTTTGATTCTGCTCCTCGAAGAAGGCGGCGAACTCTGGACCATACCGACCACCGTAGGACTCGGTAGCAATACTCACCCTTGAGTCGTTCGGATGATATCCAGGAAACTCTTGGAACCAGGTCTGAGCGAAGTGCCAGAAAGCAATGGCGGCGTTACGAGTGCCCTTGGCGGTTTGATTTCTGCTCAGACTTGGGTATGTGCCAACTAGGAGGGTAGCATTCTGTTCGGGAATTGTATCAGTCTCATCAATCTTAAGAGTCTGTCCAGTGACCAGGTTCTCAGTGATGTTTTGCAATGTGTCATATGACAAGCCCACTTGGGTCGGCTGGTCAATGAATAGCATATTGACTTTAAAGTATTAGCCTTTGTATTCACACTATTGACTAATATGAGGGAAAGGTTGGCTTATTAGGCTCACCGTCGGTATTCCATGCCCACTCGCTCAAAGTAGTCGAGTTAGAGTCAGAATTGACATAGCAAGGGCCATTCTCGGTAAAGAGCCCGTACAACGAGCTGGACCCGGGGCCACCGTTAAGCCATATGGACAGCGGCGCATTCTCGGGATTATTTCGTGCTTCGAAGAACCAGAAAAATGTGTTGATGGGGTATTCCTGCTCCTCTCCAAGGTCTGCCAGTGTACCTGGCGGAAGGTAAATGTATCCAGCATAGGATTTTACCCCTGATGTCGTTTCGCAAATGCCGGGCTTTTAAAGGAGGTTAGGTTTAAATTTCATAATTGCAATTATATCTAGATCTAGGTACATATACTCACTTCCTTGTAACTTATCGTAACGCCGTCACCGAATTTAGATTTGAGGACAGTAACGTCTTCGGGAGTTGGTGGAAACTGGGCGCGAGCAAACGGAGCCAGCGCTGAGAGGCCGATGGCCGTACGAAGGCCTAGTGCCAGCATGGTGAGCGAGGTTGAGAAACGTACATCCTTGTAGAGGAATCCTAGGGCAACCGAGCGCCATACCTTATCTCTTATATGTTTATATATTCGTTTATGACTTGGCGTGTTCCCCGCATCCGGTCATTGATAAACGATTACATAGACGACTGCATCGCCTGCAACCCTGTTACCTAGCTGGCTGCATAAATAAGGCTACTTATACGGCGAGGTAACGATCTCCGGGGTGGACAGAACCGAACGTGGTAGACCCAGCCGTACAGGACTGCATAATAAGAGACCCAATGAGGCCGGAGGCTCGCCTCAGTGGACGTGCATATTGCACGATTCGACAGTAGCACAATTGGGGAAGGTTACAGTAGAGTTGGATATCAACTTGGATTTTTCACAACAGCTACCCCGCCAATGGATGGAATCCAGAAGGCTGGCATTTTGGAGAACCTGGCACTGACGCTTTGAACCCCGCAGATGATAATGTGAATAATATGAGTCTTGACATTAGGCCAAGGAGAACGAGATAGGGGGCTTCGACCTTGATAGATTACATAACGAAACATTTGAAGGAATTAAATAAAGTAGTGTCCAATATGGGCAAACCCTTAAGACACTACTACAACACTATGTAAACCTCTATGATAATTATAACTATTAAATAGATCCACCACACGCCTGTACACGGCGCAGCTATCCAACCATCTCGTGATAGACCTTGAAGCACAATGTCTTGAAATGAAAGGATGGCTTCTTTTGTCTTCGCTTGCTTTTATACTTGACCGGGCCTCTCTTAAATAACATCGCCCTGGTCTAGTAAATTGCTTCTTCTCTAACTTGTATCGAGTTCGCTGCTCGTCTCTTCTGCCCAATAAATAGCATGGCTGTCCAAATAACGCCAACCCAATGATACGAGAAACCCGAAAAACCCCGCTCTTTTTTGGATTTCCATGGCTGCTATACCGTGAGCGGATCATATACACCATCCGAGATCCTCCTGAACAGGTGATGTTTTTCTATGGCAAACCCAAACCCTTCATACTACCCAAGGTACCCAAACAAGTGACCTTCATGCTTCCCGATACCCCTAGCTAACAAAACACAACAAATACTCCGCGCTACGCAAGAAAGAAAACCATGCACCACTATTTGTCCCTCTAGATAGCCCAACTTCCTCTCCTAGCCCTGACACCCCAGGCCATCTCACCAGTCCCAGAGTCATTAAGAACGGGGTGCTGGCGTGCCCACTCGCGTATGTAAAGCTTCAGTGCGATCCACCGAGGTGGCTTCGCCCTCCTGCGAGTTCTTCTCTCGTCCTCTTCAGGCGTACGTAGTGGTGTCTCCTCGCCGCTGTCGGAGTCGGTCATTGAACTACCCTTGGGGATGCTCATCTCCATTTGCAGCATGAAACCTTTCTCGATTTTTATGTGGTCATCCTTGCGCAATTCCACGATGTCGATACCGCTGATCTTACTCAGTTCACCATCAAAGGCACGTGCGGTAGCGGGATATCCAAGACTGAGATAGTTGTAAACCTGCGTAACGAAGGCATCATCAAACTCGGCCGCGATGCGTTCCTCGAATTCCTTGCGTGCCTTCGCCTTTTTCAGCCGTTCGTCCAATCCCGAGAGCATATGAAAGCCCCTGCCTGTCGGGGACGTAGCCCCAGGCGACTGTGCACCGCTTATGACACCGCTTATACTCATGGATGCGGTAAAAGCGGCGGAGAAAGGGTCATGCGGAAAATTTGGCTCCTGCGGTGTCATGAGCAGATGGGGTCCTGGGTGTGTCATCTCTACAGCGTCGTTGGCCTTAGTAGAACAATAGCCACGCCATAGCCCCGTAGCCCCTGTGGCATCTCGCCGCTCAGGCTTCTCAAGGTTGCAATACTGATGACTGGGCTCCATACGTGTCGACTTTGGGCTAGGGCACATGCGGAACTGTAGACCACCACCGAGCATAGGCGGCGAGGCAGCTATGCGCATCTTTCGCATCTGAGGGTCTTCGGGCTCATTGTTACGAAAGGCAAAAGGTATGCCGAATGGGCTCGCGCGGAAGCCGGGTTCCGGTGGGAGGACCGCGGGCGAGGACGCGCGAGGATGCGAATCTACCCTGGCTAGTAGGGCCGGTGAATGCGCGCTTATTATTGGGCTTGGAGCATCTCTCATATTTTCATCAAGAGATGCCCGGAACGCGGACGTCGTCCATAACGGGTCTGCCGGAGGAGGTGGTATATCAACGCGATCCAACTCTTCGTCAATATTCATCCCCTCTTGGTTGATCTGAGCTAGCTTTTCGGCATGGGCTCGCATTTCCTTAACGGCCCAGCACGGGTCTGACTCCTTGCGTCGTAGAAGCTGTGAGGTTCCATGTCTTAATCGTTCATCTAGGACAAGAGGATCCTCATCCTCGGAGTTATCTCTAACGAGAAAATGTTCCACACCCTCGGGTCGTACACCGTTGGGGAATGCAGCCATAGCCGCTTCGAGCTCGCGCTGTCTGTGCGCCTCCCTAGCGGCTACCGCTAATAGATAACCCGAGAACTCCTCGTCGCACGACTCTCTCCTCTCGCGGACATGGTAGCGTTTGCTACTCCACGAATCACCACCAACATCGTCATCGTCATCGTCATCGTCATCATCTTGTTCCGGGTTTCCGTTAGAAAGAGCCGGGACACCAATATTGATAACTAGTGCATCCTCATCATCGTCGTTTTCCTCAGAAGACTTATCCGACTCGGATGATAGTATAGTATCGAGATCGGGAGTATACGATTGTCGCGTGCTTCTTCGAGTATTTGGATGCGGCTTCATGGACTGCTGCCGACGCGGTGTTAAATGGCCATCACCATCTCCGGGAGCATTCGATACGCCTGAAACGGCAGGCCGGGGTGCAGCTTTTCGCTTTGGCTTCGGAGCATAGATATGATTTGTACCAGGTGTGATATCCGTCTTATCTACTGGTTTGGTGGCGGGGCCTGGTTGATCTGCCTTTTTGGATCTTCTTGTCGTCTCAATCAATTGCGGGGCAAACTTTCTCTTGGGTTTCTTTTGCGATTGTTCGAATTGTCTCTGATCTTCTTTGTTTTCCCCTCCTACCCCTCCTAGAAACGCCGGTGCGTATGGGGATGTTGGCGAGGGGTCCGGTGTCAATTCTGCAGTAGGGCCGACGGGATTTTTCCTATTATTACTGTTCTTCACCCTGTACGAGTCGAATGTCGTCTCAATTGGAACTGGAGCAAAGCGCCGAATGGGTTTGACTGGTGGCGCATCCGGCATTTCGATGTCGCTCACCTGAACTGAAGCGTCCCTCGTAGGTCGCCTAGTCGAGTTAACCGTCGAATCCGGGGGTGTCAATGTTAAAAGCTTTGGAGGAAGGTCTAATCTTTTGTTTGATGACGACTTTACGGATTCCTCAACGAGCTGGGGAGCAAACCGACGGCGGGGTTTTGCCGCGGGTGCGGGTGCGGGCTGACTTGCTATAGGAGGGGCCTCGGAAATTGAAGCATCACGCATCGGTTCGTCTTCGCCGCACGCCATTTCTAAGCTATCTTCCCGTTGCCGGCGATCACACGACGAAAATAGCAACCCGGAATAAGTAACAATGTAAAGGTACCCGGAGTCACTGGAATCATGTGTAGCTAGCAGCGGGTGGTAGTGGCAAAGGTAATAGCGAGAGAAATAAAGGAAATGCGGCAAAATGAATTACATATAATTTCTAACGTCAACATTATCGACCGAATAAGGAGAAGAATGAAAAGAGAGAAATAATAACCGGTAGGAATAATAGTTGGATCCGACCCGGAACCCAGAATCTGGTGAATCAGGTATTATTAACCCCAGCTCGTTTCTAACCCCGTGACAAAAAGATGCCATGGACCCAAGTCGACGCAAGGCCACAAACGACGCACCGCTAGTTTGCATTGAAGACTCCGCGGCCTCCTCCGGGCAGTGGGGGAAGTGGATCGTGAGTGGAGCTATGGAGTTACCAAAAAGATAGAAAGGAGAAGCCGGGAGTGGGTGGTAGGAATGGGCACGAATACCTGGAATGGTAATCATCTTAGTGGCTTTCGTGTTTGCAAACATGCATTTTCATGGTCAATGAAAAGATAGCGGTTTTTTTTAGTGGTGGTCTTTTTAGTGGTGGGTAGTGTCGGCATCGACCTAGAACGTTCTGAATTGGCCATTGGGGCTGAGTGGCTACATGTAAGAGAAGGCACATGTATACGGTACTTGTAAAATGCAGTTACAAATGTTATGTCGTAATGTGAGCACTATATATAAAGAATGTATATATACATGCGTTAGGTATATATACATACATGTATGTAATGGTCCGGCTTCGCAAATTAGCAAATTGGCAAGCTGGGACGAGATTTGGGCAGAAGTAAAGAACCTTGGAACCTTCCATTGTCCCTGAAAGGTAGTATTATCGCATAATAACTTCAATTAGAAGCTTCATACATTTTAGGTATATGCAGCTAGTTATGTACCTATAGTTTAGAGCTTCCCACGTTCCCATATTTCTATATTTCCATGTTTACGCACGCAAGGGACTGGGGGTAATCAAGTCATTTCAGGCTCCAACTCAGCAGAGTCAATTAATATGTAGAGTACATAATGTCAATTACACAATACACGTACCTTATCAGCTAGTTATGTATATACCCGAAGAACCAGGCATCGTACATCTGCAGCTATCGCCATGGCTTCGTGCAGCCCCTCCTCAGACGTACCTATGGCAGCATACTGCGTACATGATACTTAAGGTACCAAGCCATACGTGTGCACCATCCCCTTTACTGACCGACAATCCGAGGACCGAAGGTGAGTTGGGGATGCTGCCTCTCTCTAAAAAGGAGCGGAGGAGTTGTTGAGTATCACCTGAATGGTCTTATCTCTTAACCCCGAGAGCATGAAGTCTTGCTTACATAGTATTCTGGTACGTTTCCCCAGATTTCACCGTCCGCGCGACGGGGCACATATGGGATATGTATGTATGTAGTGTACACCAATCTAGGTTAATATGTAGCGAGTGGAATACCTATGTAGGATATCGCATCGATAGGCAGGGGTGAATAAATTCAACATGAAAAGTCTTGACATCATATAAATACGTACGCTCAAGGTTCTTGCTTCTAGCCGGCGCCCGAATCTTTGGATTGGGACCGGATTGGATGGGTTAGCCGAATTTAACCCTTTGCTCCGGACGAACGATATAGTAAATCGATAAGAGCTTGAGAGAAATCGGGTGCCTCGCTCAATAGTATCGAATAGTCAAACTGGTCCGTGTCCGGCTTTGCATGCACAGCAGCTCACGATACCAGCATCCGCTCAACGCGTTTTTACTTACGCATGACCGTTCTCGTGCGGGTCCGGTATTACATAGGTAGGTATATCAAATTCGTCTCAACTCCCCTTTTGAATTACTAACCGTACGAACAGGGCTATCGGATACAGCTACCTTGTTGGGTTGGACCGAGGCCTGCACTCTTCTATACCCTCATACGTGTAGTCTGTTCTCCGCCTCTGGCATTTCAACCCAAGAAGGGCTTCTACGTACTATAGGTAATGGCCCGGGCTCTTATTTGACTGCCGGGCTGGCCTTCCATCGTAGACAAACGAAGCTTGTTCTACGATCTAGCCCTGATAATAAATAGGAGAGGTGCCAAGAATCGCATCTTCATTATTGGCTCCTAGCCTCCTCCAATAGTCACATTACAGGCTACAGGACGGCCAAGTCTTCGATACTTTCACCGACTGTTCGGGACCGCCTCGTGCAGCTCCGGGGTAACATAGTTCGGCAATCGCATTGGCTAGGGCCGGCGCGCTATCGTGCTCCGTGTTATGGTTACGCAAGGGAGATCTGTGGAGGGAAATGTGCAACGCTAACTCCGCGATTGTTCTTATCATTTCCTCTCCCCCCTCTTCTCTATCTTTCTTTCTTTCTTTCTTTCTTTCTTTCTTTTACTTTTGATAATCAAAGGTTTGCTACTAAGGCCGTCGCACTTCGACAATTAGAGTCCGAGTGTGGGATCCCCAACTATCTATTGATGGTAATCTCTTTTTATAGCTAACTCCGAATACCACTACACCGACGTGTTTGGGTGGTTAGGGTATGTTATTACCGCATATATGTGAACGGGCAAGGTATGTATTTTTAGCCGTTCCGTTGATTAGCGAACGAGATTGAATGGTTGGGCACCTACAACCAAACTGGGTACCTAACCTAATAGACGCGGCATTCGGAGTTCCTACACGGTTCGCAAGCTGGAACCTGGGGTTTCCTCTGGATGCACGTGTTCAATGTCATAGGAACAGATGCGATGGTCGTCTTACCTTGTTCCTTGTTGACGGGACGCAGGCATGCGGGAGATGCGGTGCCTAAGATGACAGCTCGTTTGGGGAGATGAGAGTGGAGGAATACGATCTCAATAATAGGGGCTGCTGGATACTTCCAAGTTGCACGATTGGGGGGCTCTAACTGTTGGAAGCCGAGACGAGTCCCCCGTGCGACCTTTTAATTTCACACGCGTAAGAATGTATTCATCGACACGGTGTTTCAATGTTCTCAACGTTGATCTCGATGGTCAAGAGCAGCGGGTTTTCGCGAGCTGAGCGTCTCGGTCCGAAGCTGTTTTCGTTATTGTAAAGGTCTATGATGGCTGTGCGTTGAAGGCGCTTATTCTTGCAGGATACCTGGGTAGGTAATCTGGCTGATAATCTTGCCGACCTGCATGAAAAGCAGTACGTAGGTATCACATAAGGCTGGTCAGATGTAACGGCTACTTACATGTATAGATACGCCAAGATATATTTTACATATATAGGCACTGATAGGCCTGCCTCGATAAGGCTGTAATGAAGTGGTCTTATATTATTATCTAGCCTGGCTAATGCGGACGAGGCGGTTTTAAAATATCATATGGGAATGAAAGGCGAGGCTCAGAATAAATTTACCGTCTTCTTGCTTTTGGGTTTACGAGCCGCTTCCCCATTCGTAATGTTGCGTTTCCCGCCGCCACATTCTACTGCCACAAAAGCTCTGGAACACGTTCTATTTAGTGGCGTCTCAATATTGGAATATCGCACGCGATTGTACAGAACGCCAGAAATTTAAGTTCCCTAGTGCCCAAAACGGCATCCCGTCAACGGCATCCCGTCGCTATCACATGCTGCATGCATGTCTTAGGTTATGCCGCACTTCTGATAAGAGGTGACAGGGCATCGTGATTTAGGCTGTGATACCGGTAGTTGCGCTGTTTATGCTAGATATCCAACATAACTATCAGGATGATAAGCTATTAACTACACGGTTCATCATTGGATGCTATCGTGGAGATCGCCCTTATAAAAGGGAGAAGATATGCTTTGGGCTGTTTTAGAGGCGATGGAGAAAAAAAAACAAAAACAAAACCTACTTCCTAAGAGCCTTAAGACGTCGCTGGATATACAGAAATCCCTAGGTTAGGTTTATCTTAACTGGACGTTGAAGTTCTAAGGATGCGAAAGCTACGACAAGATCGGCGCTTTATGTGTATAGGCTAGGTACCTGGGTAGTTTCAGATCCTGCAGCGATCTAAGGACAAAAATCGAGAGACTCCGCCTTGGGCTAGGTTTGTAATGACGTATCTTATTTTGCAGCTTGAAGATCTGTGCTGGCATGCTGTTAGCATATATATAGACGGATCTTGAAGCTTGGATCGATCGGGCTAAACAGCCCTTCTTCTATGTTTTTAATAGTTAGAATAGCTTATGAAGCTGGTTCCGGAGCTCTTGAGAAGTTGAGAGTAGAAGAACGAGGCTCATGTAATGTATTTAGGTACTTAAAAAAGGAAAAAAAAGAAAAGAAGACTACCTTACCGGACGGCACTATACAAGATGGAAATGTGGGTTAAACAAGCCGCTAGAATGTCCTGTAAAAGAAGTAAAAATTTGCCCCGCTTTCTATAGAGGCGTTATTAAATGTTTGACTAGTCGATACGGGAATTTGTGCTACTCATATCACATAGGTAACTAATAATAACTAGTTATAAGTGTAAGACATATTAGATTATTAAGGGGAAAGGGAATGTTTTACTGTTTTGGTAGAGATAGGTATCTTGAAAAGCCTTTTTATCTTCTCCGACCCGTTGGCTTATCTGCAGGTCCAGGTAAACCCTGTAGGTACATTACCTAATATAGTAAAGACCTTGCTGTCTGGGTACGGTATCCGGACCGCTAAACTTGTTACGTCGGAGTATGTCTGACAAGTAGCAACGACGCAGGAGATAACCAAGGTTTTGGGGTAACTACCTCCTACGAGATGCCACTGGATAGAAGCCACATGGTCTCTGAATTGGCGTGATCATTTATCTACATAACTCAAGATAAGGTGCGATGGAAGTATATAGATAATGTATACAGGAAGGTGTATCCTGTCCATTCAGGCACAATAAGCAATTCTCTATCTTCCATGATCCTTGCTACTTTCTGTGCGGCATGCAGCTCTTACACATACATATACATACTGTCATACTATCGTGCACCATCTGCCGTTCTCCGCCCCATATTCCTATGCGACCCGCCGAGCCGTTTTTCTTTCTCTCGTCCAATTCAGTTCCTTTACGTCGCAGCGCCAGCTCCAAAGAGAACGCAGAGTACACCACCCAACCAACCCGGTCTTAATCCCAGTGATCATGGAAAATTAATTGATTGATTGAAAAAAAAAAAAAAAAAAAAAAAACTATCGATCACTGCATCGGCGTTGGCGGGCTAGGATTGGATTGGAGATACATATTTTTTTCTTAATTCCCATATTCCTTTTCATTGCTTCTATCTCGTCTGGGCATTGTCCTATCCAGTGGCAGCTTATCGCCTTCATCTACTCTGCCTCGTCTGCTTACTTTCTTGGATTGCTTCTACTTGCTATCTACGTAGGTAGTATTGCAACTGTATCTCGTCAGATCGGCCGAAACCTCTTCCTTTTACCGCTTACTCTTACCCTTATCTTCTTTCTTTATATTCTATATTCAAATCCATGCTATATTCTCTGCTCTCTGCTTGAGCTATCTCGTATCGGGCAACGAAAACTCGAGAGACATATTACGGTTGACTACCCGCTACTAACTTATATGATTCGCCTTCTCTAATTATAGCCCTGTCTGAGCTCTATCGTACATATCCCAGGATAATCTAGGGACAGGAATACTAGGCGAAGAATATGGGTGTGATGTATGGCGAGGTTTCCCAGAACGATAATGACGATGACGATCGAAATGGTAGAAATGGTGGCGCATCACCTTCAACACCATTCTCGCTAGCGCGCTCCTCGTCGCCCATGCCTTTCCTCCCAACTGTCGAATCGACTTTTACTCCTCTTTCAATGGATAGCGATACATATTCGAGAATTGGGGTAGGTGCTGAAAGTGAGGGCCGTGATGTGTCTGGAAGTAATTCTCAAGGGAGGAAGAGCCACAATAAGTTAGCTGCTGGCACGGCCACAACCAGGACCAGGGCCAGTATGAGCGGTATGAGCATCGGCGACATGGTCCAATCGTTATCACCGGCACGAGCCACACGTAACAATCGTAACGAATACGGTCTTTTATCTCCTGACACTGCCTTCTCGTCTCCTTCGTCTAGCCCACGCCCAGACGACATCAGTTCCAACCCAGATTCTAATAATATTTATTCCGAGAAGAAATCCGCGTCGAATTATGTCGAAACTGCCTATTCAAGTTCGAAATGGACCAATGGTGCCTCGACTAGAGAGTCACTAGTAAATAAGACGTTGTCTCAACATCAACAGCAAGAACCACCACAGCCTATAATACTCCAGCCGAAACCCATTGTTCGCACTGCCTCTACAAAAAGTGTTTCCTTGCGCCATCCTACTCCCGATCTAAATCCACGGACTATCTCTTATGCAAATAATATCGCCCAGTTAGAGGCCACGGCTGAAAAGCTGTCGATGACTTCATCAATCGAGGATGCAATTCGAGACTTACACGACGAACAGAAACGCAACGAAAGCCGACGGTCATCAATCCTAGCCGTAAGCATAGGTTCGATTCCTGAAAATAACGAACCGGTGTCTTTCCCTGCGATTAAGCCGCTCTCAACCACCAGCTCCATACTAGATACTAATAGCGCGGTACGCTACGGTGGTTATTCCCCTGCTGGATTTATAATGTCGTCAGACCCTTCCCTGGTTTCTAATCCAACGCGGATGCGATCCGGTTCTGGTCCTCTATCGCGACCCGAATCTGAGGTTGGTAACGTCATGTCAAGGCACGGACCTGGGAAGACTTCTACACGGAGCGTTAAGTCGGCATCTAAGCCGACCTTAACAGATATTGCTGAGATGGAGCCTACTACGCTTACACCAGCGGCTATGGACGAAGCTGATAAATTGGCCGAAGAACCGGTAGATGAGACATTACGAATACCCCAGATGGAGGACATCGATCTTACGCCCAATGCAGAACAGTTCGGGATGTCGAGCAGCCATGATTATTGGAGCCATGGTGTTACTGAGACACAAGAAGGATACGGTCATAACGGTGATGATATCAGGCCTCCAACTGCTGGGTCTACTGGCACGTATGAGCAGGCGGAGAGAGCATTCGCAGATTTTGATGGAGCATATTGCCCATCCGACGTTGACCTGGAGGATTCGCTATTTATGCCCTCGTTCTCTAACGGACCATCAATAAATGCCCCCTTCCTACGACCTTTCGACTCTACTTCATCAAGGATGCGAGAGGAGCCAGGCTATTCGAAACCTACCATATCCAGACCAATCGCTCCACCAACCGTTAGGCCAAAGTCGTACATGGATCCCGAAACAGGCCAAACCATGCTCTATTACCCAGCGCGTGTTCCTTTAATGCTCAACTTGCCACAAAAACTCTCCAAAAAGCCTAAAGCTGAAGCGCGGGACGCTCGTAGATCGCAGGTCCTGAGCAAAATGTCGGAACCGGACCGCAAATCTGGCACCCTTTGGCTACCAGAGTATTTGCCCGAACCTCCACTCGAACCCATGGGGCCTACCACCGAATCTTTCGTCCCTGTGCCGCTGACTAGTTCGGACGCAGACCCGCAAATCCAACCGGCTACGGATGGCCAACGTGACTCTCAATTTCTCTCTCAGTCCGGCTACGGACAAGGGAATGACGAAGTGCATGGGCCCCGTACTTCGGCTCTCGATCCAGACAAACGGAAGTCAAAGATACCTAATCTCGACGGCTTACCACCACAACTACGTGCCAGTGCTTTTTTCGACCTACCTTCCGAGCCATCACCCACTATCCAGCTTAAAGATGGCTCTGCAATGGCCACCCTAGACAGTATTTTAGACGCCTCTGCCAAGGCGCCTGTTTCTGCTTTTACGGATCACGCGTTCGCAGGAACGTTAGGATCAGAGGTATACGGGACAGAAAAGAAGCGCAAGTCACATATGAAACGCGCCAGCGCTACCGATTTGCTAGAGCCTAAGAAGCGAAGCTCTTTTCTACACCTCCGAAAGCTGAGTGCTCTTAGCCGACATTCAGAATCTCAAGAGGTGCGCCGGAATACCATCGCCGGAGGTACAAAGATCAACGAGGGTCTAGACGCTAAAGCAGAAGACGAGGAAAGAGAACATTTAGCTGGTTCTATCGACGGCGAAGCGGTACCAAATCACGCCGATGAAGATGGAGAAGGTGACGAGGAGCTAGTATATAATGGACCCCCGACGACTTTATTGGCCGAGCTCCAGATGCGAAAGCAGCAACAGAAATTGCGCACTCGACCGGCTGCTACTGCTTTCCCTAACGGCTTGCACTCTACACTACTCGAGATGGATACGGTCGCTCAGATCGAAAGTGACGCACGCAAAGGCAAGAAAGTAAATCTTGCGTGGGAAGACCCAAGCGCGAATCCAGCTACCAATTCGGACGACGAAGATACGCCGTTAGGACTGCTTATGGCCGCGAAGGGACAAGGTAATGATATCACGGCCGCGATCGCTGAGATCAATCGGCCGCTTGGTTTGATGGAACAGCGTGAGTTGGAAGATAGCGAACCCTTAAGTCAACGTCGTGACCGACTCCAAGGAAGAGAGGTTAGCTCAATGAAACGACAAAGCATGATGACACTTGGTCAGGGTCTCCACAATGGGAGTAATAGCCTAGGGGCCATAAGCCCACAACTCCGTTTGCACACTCCCGAGGAAGAGGAGCTTGAAGGTGAAACTCTCGGGGAGCGTATGCGGCGTCTAAGATCGCGTGAGCAAGCGGATAATCCTCTTCCTCAAGCCAGACCCGTCAGTTCTGCATTTTCAATGGAACTTTTGAGCCAGCTAGGCGAGGCGTTTAAGGAGGATGAAAGCGATGACAAGAACCAGGATAAGCGAAAATCTCAGCTTAAAGAAGAAGAAGAGACATTAGGACAGCGCCGCCGCCGCCTGCAAGCAGAACGAGAAGCTCGCGAACAAGGGACAGCTGGCAACCTGCTTAGTGGTGGGGTTGGCGACGCACGAAAACTTACGAACCGGCATTCACTTGCTGATGTGCTTGGCACGCGCGGGTCGAGGACTCTTCTGCGTGATCCTAGGGCAGAGGCAGAGAAAGTAAAACAACAAGAAGCTGCCCGATATAGGCAAGATCAGGATCAGAAGATGGCTATACTCCGTGGTCAGATGCCTTCTAGTCTTAGTACACCAAATTTAAATCAACCCGGGGGGTACATGTCTGGTCGATTCAACGACGGTACAGGCGGCGGAAGTGGCTATGCACGAACCAGCACAGCTTTAGGTGGCTATCCTAATCAAAGCATGGGAGCAAGCGGCGGTATGATGGGCAATACCTACCTTGCGGGTGGAACTATAGGTGGCCCGATACCCCCCTATGGTATTACCAACGGACTTGGTGCCCAAGTGAGCACCCCTTACGGGATGCAAGTACAGCCACCCGCTCAAATGGATAGAGTAGAGCGATGGAGACAGAGCGTTTTGCCTTAGGGGTCCTTCTCGCCCTAGGACCCGGGATGCTCTACAACACCGAAGAGTAAAGTGAAACTGGACTGTACTCACTTAGTTCTCCTAAGCATCGCGCCGGCGTTTCATAACTAGTCTTAATGGTGTATATTGTATTATGTATGGGAGGCAGCATTGGTGTTCGAGGAAGGTATTCGAAAGGGGGGCATAGGTATATATATAGTTATAGCATATTATAACTAATGTAATTTTTAGGTTGTGGTAGATAGTGGTAAATACCTACAGAGAGGACCGAGTCTGGGGTAGCGGCAGAGCGGTGCATACACCTGATATATATATATATTAGGTACCTATTATTCGTTTAGATACAAAAGGTTATGACCTGATACCTATCCGGGTGGGGGGGGTCCTAGGACAGACTGATACCAGTCTGTCAACATCATGAAAAAGGGTTAAAATAATTTATTTAAACAATAGAGACTCACACGTTTTGTATCGGACACTATTCGACCTGGAGATTCTGATTATTTTAATAAGGATATCCCCAAGGTCCTGGATTTAATTTAAATATAATAATAAAAATAATAGTCTGGTAAGGCTAGGTCAGTATTATCCCCCCACCAGTATTGTGTCTCCAACAGTGTTTTGGCTGCATAATTCTGGGGTTACACGAACAGAGTGTATATGGTATATAATTATGTTATGCTTATAATAAAGACACTAACGTTACTAGTGTCTTGATATATCACTAATACCCTGTTATAATAATAGTGACACCACTAGTATATTCATCTAATAGGTCTAATGCACCAAGGGATATATATATATTAAAAATTAAAAAGCGGCCATCTCAAACACCTTTTATTTCAAGGTCTTTGAGATTGTTTTTTTTACTAAGTCACGATGGGATTCGAATGATTACAAGTTACAAGTCATACAAGTCATACAAGTCTACGGGCTATTCAATTAGGCTACGAGGCATTACATTACATTACATTACATTACATTACGTACGCGTGTGGGAAGGTGACCTATTACCTTATATAAGGTATACTAGGGCACCTACTCCTTCCAGGTCAGCCAAGGTGCTTCAGGCTTTCAGGGGCTATTATAATGACTATATTGAATTAAAATCAACGTGGTAAGGCAGGTGTAATAGCCGTACTGACAAGCCTTATTATACTGACTATATTCAATTAAAATCAACGTAACGAGGTAGGTGTAATAGCCGTACTGACAAGCCCTATTATACTGGCAAGTGCGCCTGCTATCGAGGATAACAGTATCTTATCTCTGCAAGCATTGTCTCCTCACAAGAGTCTCTTTCCTATTTTAATTTCAAGGCCACAGTAGCACCTACTAGAACAGTATAAAGTCGACGATATTGAGGCTATTTTGATGGTAATATTATTCTTGTAAGGGGGGCCCGTGCTGGAATGTATGGTCAGTGCGTGTGTGTATTCTCACGGAAAGGATCGGAAGCAACGTTAGCATTTTTTCATATAATTATAGTACAGCTCTGTTAACAGGCTTTCCCCGAATTGACATTATAGTACATTTCAACATTCTAGAGTCATACTGTCCTAGGACCCCCCCCACCCGGGTAGGTAGAATTAATTTGAGCATCAAAAGTTAAATAATATGTGAAAAGTAGCAACCGCAGTAAAGGGATGAAGGTCACCAACCTAGGAGACACCGGATAGTGATGTTGTCATAGATTTTGTCTCTTCTATTTTTATTTTTATTTTTATTTTTATTTTTATTTTTATAGTAAGAACATAATGGCCAGATACTAATTGTTGGGATGTAATTACGCAAGATAATCACGTGTTGTCACGTGTTGTCACGTGGATTGGTCCAAGCACAAAACAACAACAAGAATCATCGTCACCTTCGCTGTACAGCAATACCCTATACCCTGTCAACCGACACTAATTAAGCCAACGTCGATCCAATGATTTTCATGACTAGCAGAATGGGAGCGCTGGATGGTGTATTCTAGAATATTGAGTTGACTGGGTAGTATATGTCGATTATTTCTGATCTTTGAGTAAGTAATGCCGGACGGAATTGTGTCTGAATAGTGGCGTGAAAAATTGGCATGGTCATCTCGTGGAAAATTTTCAAGGGGTTTCCGTAATAGAAGTTGATGAGGTATTAGAGCAGTTGGAAGAAAGGGAGCGTATTGACTAGCTGGCCTTTCTGCGACGTGGTGGGTGAAAGGGACGACTCGCGCGTTTCGAGTCCAAATCGCTGAGTCGTGGGTTGAGTCGTGGTGTGAAGGTATCTCCTTCGCATTTTCATACTATGTAGATATTTTATACGTGTTAATATAATAGTGGAGTTGGACGCGTGGCTTTAACAAATATTTTGAAGCGCGACAACTCTTCGTATGTCAAGAGCGTCGATGAGGGTCCTGGAACTTGCCTCTAGTTAATATCTATCCAGCCTCATGGTCGAACGAGGCGAGTCGAAACAGGAAGCATGACTTGTAAAAACTGATGATGTTACTAATAAGCCATCCTATGGGAACTAAGGCGTACGTACGGACATGTTTGTCCGGCTACAAGGTCCCTTTATAAAAGCGAGTCATGTCTATCCCTACTTTACTCTTCGGATTATCGGCCTCCATACTAGAGTCTCCTGTTCTACTCACTCTAAATCCAAAAAGGGGTCTAAAAAGGGGTCTAAAAAGGGGTCTAAAAGGGGCTACAGACAACCTTGGAACGTATGGGCCAATTACACTCCAGAGGGACTCGGGTCTAGTGTTATAGTTAATTCTGTCATGAATCCCGAGTTGTCACATAGAGTTCGAGTCTGTTAACACGGCCCGTTAACTCTAAGTGCTTTTTCGGCGCCGTGCCCTGAACTAATTTAGGAACTAGGTATCGCTACACGCTAATTACTCTCTATCATCCTAAGTGACAGATATGACGCCGGTCAAGTCCGGTAGAGTCCGGTAGAGTCCGGTAGATAGTAGCATCCCCAACGTCCTTACCATCGTACCTACGCTATGGTAGCCTAGTTGTCTTAGTTGTTTTAGTTGCCACGTGCGACTGAATCGTAACCAAATCTTGACTTATCTTCAAGCCACACGGGTTTGGACGCTCTAGCATTCTCGAAATATTATCCGTACAGAGTTTCATAACGCAATTACTTTGGACCTAACCTAACCTAGTAGCTTCGATAATCTCTAAAGTAAGTCTACGCCACAGGACTAGTAGTGTATTCGATATTCAGAGGGAGGGTTACTTACACCCACCTGCAGATTGTAGGGCAAGGTATGTATTTTGACTATCCGGTCAGTCGAACGCAGCATTCTCGTACCTGACGCCGGGTCGCGCTAAGATGATGTTCTACGAGTTCAAGCATAAGTGCATACGACTAATGTTAACCCCATAATCTTGATGGAAACTGTTTCGATGTACCACGTGTCCCCTCAACAAGATGAGACCTGATTCATTTCACGAAGGGGCACTTGAGTAGGTATTTGCAAGAGGAACGGCTATGCCGACGACTTGCCAAGCAGGAAACAATCTTCCGCCGTCTGGAATGCTTCCCGCACCCTTGACGGGATCCCAACCTCTAATGTCATCATGGAGTGCATACTTTACCATAGCGGTTTTATACTTCTGTTCTCGTCTGACCTTGGCCCCTCCTTAAACATGTATATAAGTGCTTAGACTTTTCCCAGCGGTTGGACTTAATCCTCTCTCTCATCCCCAGCATTCATAACAGAGCTTTCTTGCTCCCCCATCACTCGTTCTCTTCTAAAGAAGCATATCTATTCCGCTTCGCTGTCTCTCATCTATAAAATATTATAGTGGTTGGCTGTCTTTCAAAGACCAATACTATAATTTTTATCACCCTATTTGATTTTTATAACGACCGAAATGCTTTCACGTTCAGTCCTAGCTACCTCCCTCCTATGGGCATCCAAGGCCCTCGCTAGCTACCAAGCTGGTACATCAGACAATATCGCTATCTACTGGGGACAGAACTCGGCTGGTGCCACCGACGCTGGCAAATCCCAGAAGTCACTCTCCGAATACTGCACCAGGGCTGATGTTGACATCATTCCCGTGGCCTTCGTGTCTAGCTTCAACCCCATACAGGTGGACTTGACAAATATGGCCGATGATAAGAACATGGCTGAGGAGATCACCACGTGCCAGAACGCCGGCAAGACTATATTACTATCCATCGGAGGAGCTATGTTTACTTCGGGGCCTTCGAGCCCGCAAGATGCTCAATCTCTGGCCGATAAAATTTGGGCGATGTTTGGTCCTCCTGGCAATGGCGACGGCGGTAACCGTCCTTTCGGTAACGCAGTTGTCGATGGCTTCGATCTCGACATCGAAGCCCCGCTCCCAAACATGGCACCCTTCGCTGCGCGATTACGCGAGAACATCGACAAGGCCAACGCCGGCGGCAACCGAAAGTTCTACCTCTCCGCGGCGCCTCAGTGCCCGTTCCCAGACCTTAACAACCAGGCCATGCTACAGGGCGACGGGGCCGTAGCCTTCGACTTCGTCATGGTGCAGTTCTATAACAACCCCAAATGCGATATCCGAGTCTTCAACGGCCTCGGTTCCGGTTCCGGTTCCGTCTCAACACGGGATACAAACGACCCCATGAAGACAGGTTTCAACATGGCTCAGTGGGACGAGTGGGCGCGCACAAGCAAGAACCCCAACGCCAAGGTATTCCTCGGCATCCCAGGTGGCCCCACGGCCGTGTCCCCGTCCGAGAAGGCGTCGTACAAGGCGCCGAATTCCCTGGGCCCCATCATCGCCTACAGCAAGCAGTTCTCGAGCTTTGGCGGGGTCATGATCTGGGACATGTCTCAGGTCTGGGCCAACCCTAGCTTCCTAGATGCCATCTCCAAGGAGATCAAATGTTCACCCAAGGGGAATGCTACGCGACCTACTAGCGCTGCTACCCAGACGATACGACGAGTGCATCAGCGAGAGTGGCAGTCATGACTGGCTTCTGTTAGATTATTTTCTATTTAATCTCGATTTTGGGTGTAGGCGTTGGGAATTCTTGTTTAGGGACTTCCGTGATGCATTCGGTAGGCTGCCCAAAGGCGATGATTCCACTGAAGATAACCTAGGGGGTCCCAGGAGTTTCCTGTTGTGCATACATTTTATATTATACCTACAGGTTGGGTTAAGAGGGGAGTTGGGGAGTTTCATTCTGGCTAGGTTCGGGAGAGTTGGAATAGTCCCCCATAGATACCCCCAATTACGCCCACGAGAAGCGGACGAGATTGCATCGTATAGTTTAATTGATTTTCTTGGTTAATACGTTGAGGCTAGACATATGTGAATGTTTTTATTTTGAAATACTTTGAACAGTTATTTCTCCTTTTTCCTCTTTTTTTTCTTTTTTTCTTTTTTTCTTTTTTTCTCTTTGAGCAGAAAAGGGTAGTTCAGCAAGCTGTCGGTCTATCGTCGAATCCGCATGCACGGCCGTGTCTTAGACATTCCCTACGCTATGCCCGCTATGCCCGCTATGAGCAAGCGTCCATAGTTCCCTGAACTTGGACCCATGGGTTTCAACTAATACCCCCGGGCGGCCTCTCTCAACTATGCTTCCCTTATCCATTACTACAACTGTGTCAAGTCTACCTAAGCACCATATCTAACCGGTGGCTGACCATGATGACTGTATACCCTTCGAACTCTTCCCTTATGATGTTCTGCACTGCCCTGTCCGTGTCCCGGTTTACATTCGAACTGACCTCATCCAGAAGCAGGATCCCGTCAATTATTACGCTTTTCTCTCCTAATTCTGATTGAAGTTGTCTCATTCTAATCCTCCGCCTCAGAATGGCACGTGCAAGATTGAATAGCTGCTGTTGGCCCTGCAGGGATGATGGAAGACACTTGCACGTACATGTTATGTTCATGTACCAAGGCATCTCGTAGATAAAGTCGTAGATAAAGTTGGCTAAATTGGGTCTCCTTTCAAGTTGTATACTATTGTGTTATATAACCAGTAGTAGTATAGTACAAATAGGGGGTATATATCTTACTGTTCTAGTTCTCCCAGACTTGTCAGCTATTGCCCTGTTATAGCCCTTTCCCATGTTTCCGTGACAATCCTCCAGTACCGTTCGCCATCTGATCTCATATGCGATACGTGTGGACTACGTTCGAACGCTTCTGTTCGTACCTCTAGTCCCTTCGCTGCAGCTTGCTTCGCATGCATTTCGACATGCCTCCAGTCGACCATGACATCAGCCTTGCCATATATATACGAACGATTCGTCTGCTTGACCAAGCCTAAGTCGTTGAAAACCCTCCAATTTACCGAAAGGAAATTCTCGCCAGTTATGAATTTTAGAGCGTGCAAGATCCAGAGGCAGGTAACAAATGCAACGACGAATGGAATCGCGATCAACCGGAGGAGACCCTTTGGAAAGTTGATTATAATTACATTATAAGTAGGAGAAAAGGCAAATAGCCCGGGACACGAATCGTACACTGCGGCATGAAGCGGAAAGGGGCGCCCTGTGTGAGATTGGAATAGTTCATATAACGTTCGTATAGTAGTTGAGCCACCATTCGAAAATACGTGCTAGACAGGTGTTAGTGTCTTTGCGAGGTCCCAAGTATAACTTCCCATCTTGTATAGGCACGTCCTTTGAAAGTGTGGGAAGAAAAAAAAAAGAAAAAAAAGAGGCATTTTGTTTTAATGCGCCAGAGTTTTCATACATACCGTTAGGATCTCAGGCTCAGTTGGGGATGCCGACAGAAAGCCCGAATCGAGCTGGGACCGAAGGTATGTGAAAGCAGGCCCAACAGTTTTCTGTGCAAGGGATCGAGACATGGATTCCTTGAAGACAAACTTGGCTAGTATGATCTTGGAGGTAGGATAAATGGCCTGGTAACGCGTGATATACTTGACAATGTGCAAGTCTTGTGCGTCCATCCACGATGCAACGAAGATGAGCTTCGGGACTCGCAATCGGGTAGTTTGTCGCGTAACGATGGGCTCGGGTTCATAGATGTATACGAAGGGAGTCAGTTCCTCCATCATCGATAGTGGTCTGACCATGGCCGTGGCCGGTTGGTTTGATGCCATCTCGTAGTTAAGTTGTTAAGCTATTAGATATTTTCCTGTTGATTCTTAATTCCTCATGTTATACAAGTTATAATTACGGCCTTAATTTGGTATTTATATCAGAGGTTAAAGGAACGTTTGATGCCTCCGCGGTGCCAAGATACCTGTAGATCTGGGTAATTTCGGCGTAACCCTTGCTCCGTTTGGTCACTATTAATCGGTCATAACGGCAGTTCAAGTGGCCGACTCGCGTTTTACCACTCTCATGTAGATATATCCCCCGTATATCTTCAACATTGAAAGAGAGTATCAACTTACGAGTGGTAATGCCAAACATAACACAAGAGCGACAGAATCTTGAAGAACGACGGTTACATGTATCCTAAAGCATACTGCAAGATACTACATAGAGACAGATAAGCGAGTGCCTTGTATCTGTGCTACTTACATATGGGTTCTTACATATCGGTCCTCTAAATTTAGTCGATGTGTGTAACTCGGTCAAGCAAACTTCCAACTACCTGGCTACGACTTGGTACTTGGTGTTTCTATAAGTCACATCTATACGGGTCCATATGCGGATAGCTTAGAATAAAGAGCTATAACTAATGCAAACGAGTTGAAATAACTATAGCGTACCTACATCATCACTTACCTCATTATCTATGTAATGTATGACCTTATACGTCTGCAGTGACCCGCGTCCAGATCGCCCCTGATTTCATTACGGCTTCCTACGTAGGTTACTTCTACGAACGACTATGTGTAGTGTGTACATGTGCCTAGTCTAAATACATGCATGCAGGGTCAACTCTGAAGCCCTCGGATTTCTATAAGTCTAAGACGAACTCACTCTTAGATGACAGTCCCAACCACAACTTTAACCTCTTCCATTAAAGCCATTCCCCACTTACACTCCTAGCACGACCCTACAAGTGATATTCAATATGATGACTCTGAAGCCACTCGCCCTGCTCGGGCTCCTGGTCCCATCTCTAGCTGCCCCTACTCTTGCCCAGCTGCCTTCGCTCAATTATACTCAAAGCCCTACGCCTGGAGATTTTATCCACTCACTATCTCTTCCCGGTTTCCGGTTCCGTCGTGCCAAACCACTTACTTCAATCCCTATTGATAGAAGGGTCCAAAACTACGCAGACTTGAGACGCGTTCCCCACGACGTGCGCAAACCACGTCGATCCGCGGCGACCTTGTTTGGTCAAGTCCAGCGCAGTAGCGGCGGAAAAGGGTATGAAAACGTCACAGCTATTAATCACTACGCCGCCGAGTATGCGGTACAAGCTACATTCAACGGGCGGCAAATGGACGTTGTTATAGATTCAGGGTCTGCAGATACCTGTAAGTCAACATCAAGAACCCTCATTCACGTGTTAGGCTTTTGGCCATAGCTCATATTTAAAAAGGGGTCATAGGATCCAACTTCAGCTGCAAAGGGAGTCTGAATGAGACCGTATCAGATGATCTATGTGCTCTCGGTCCTGCATTCGCAGGCAACTTCACTGGGGGGCCTCTACCTAATATGCACTTTGCTATTAAGTACGGGGACGGCGAAAGCGTGCAGGGCCGTAAGTAGAACTCTATAAGGAATTACAACGGGGAAGTGCCATCGAAAGAAGATAATGCTGACTCTTTAAGATAGTATTGGGGAAAATGGTGAGTAGCCTATAATACCTACATATTGTAAAAGTACTAGCGGAGGATGTCCTATGCAGATCCAGGCTACGCAAATACACATATGAACGGGTACCCCGTGTTATCCACGGGAGTAGCCATTATCTAACTAATCTCTCATTTAGGACGTCGAATTCGCAGGAGTAACGGTTTTCGACCAGGAAATTGCAATTGCTAGTCAAGGCACATGGCACGGTCAGTATATACCTCATTTCTCGATAACATATTTTTCTGTCAGTATTCTAATTTGGGCTTCTAGGCAATAATGTCACTTCTGGCATCCTTGGGCTCGCCTACCCGTCCCTCACTAACGCCTACTGGGGAGATGACATTTACGACAATAGCCAGTTTCTCTCGGTCCCATATTCGCCCCTTTTTACATCGATGGTTACCAGTGGGTTGGCAGCGCCATATTGGACCATTGCTAGTATGCCAGTTCCTATTTTCTGTTTCCTAGAAATATGTTAATATAATAGTAGTTGCTAGAAACTCTTCCCTTGGTTCCGTGAGCATCGGCGGAATGCCACCAGTGGATATTAGTAAGAGCGATCATGACCAGACCCCTATTATCATTGTAAGTAAACTTATTCTCTACCAAAGTCTTCCATGGGTTAGCATGCACATTAACCAATTAGGCGGATATGATCGACCGAGACAGTACGTCTTGGAAGCCATCTTTCTATACCATCGTACCGACAGCCTTTCGATTCGGGGGAATCACGACGAGCGGGCATTATCCGTTCATCTTAGACACTGCTACATCGCTAATCTACCTCCCACCAGGTGAATACATTATATTCAAATAGTCAAAGGTGTAGCTAATCTTGCGGTTAAGACCTAGCTGAAATAGTGAATGGGAAGTTCGACCCGCCTGCATCATATCTCTGGAATTACGGTGCATACTTTACAAGCTGCGATGCTATTCCCCCGAGTTTTGGGGTCCAGATTGGAGGGACTACCTTCTGGGTTAATCCTAAGGATCTACTAAACAAGGAGGAGAGGGACCCTCTAACTAACCTATGCCAAACTGGAATCGGCAATGGAGGTACTGGACCTTACATCTTGGGAATTACATTTTTGACCAACGTTGTTGCAATGATGAATATCGGATCTGGCAACATCGAGTTCTGGAGTCACCAGTTCTACTAAGATTGAAAGGAGACAACTCCTATATGTTTGTGAAATATAATACTAATAAGTATAAGGCGGACATGTTGGCCAGATTCCAGATTGTTAATCATAAATCAGGCTCGTCCGCCATCTAACAAATCCGCTTCGTCAATAAAATAGAAAGAAACCTCATGCAAGAGCTAGTTAGTTAAAAAGCTGTGATAATATTCTGAGACGCTATGTACGTTCTTCGAATAAGTGTAATTCGAGGTATAATTACTTGAGAGGGGCTTGTTATAACCGAAATAGGGGTCCCATAAGGTCGGCACATGATCTCCCGGCATCCCTGTCGGCTCCTCTAGATCTGCTTGGCTGGGAATCTCCGTTCAGGCATTGCACGTGGTGTCGTGAATTCTGCGCGCTATCCTCACCGATAGGGACTGTCCTCGTTATCTCGAAATAGCGTCTTCATCTTCTCTCGTCAGTTTCAGACGGTGAAAGTAATCTAGCAGATCTAGTAAATTTCATTAGACGGATCAAGATTTCAAGCCAACCCAATCCTTCTTTCTGGTTGCTCTAAGCACTACATGGTTCTCCGGAATAATTTACGTAAATCCCGCATAGCGAATAGACGCCGCAACGGCCAAACAGCATTGGTATTAGCGGTCAAGATAAATACCAAGGAGGCCTCAAGCGCAGGATCCCAAGGACTACCAGGGCAGGAAGGACCTCTTTATCATAGGCCGGATCTCACGGAGGGAACCCGAACTGTACAAAATTGCCACGATGAGGGGCGTCGTTGCAGGGGGCCGAAGAGGTCACGCGTGGAGTTTTTCCAAGGTGAGACGATGTGTTTTACTTCCTGACACGAACCTGTTCGCTTCTTTCTACTACAGCCGCCTGGGATTTATAATGTAGCGGATAATCAACCCCCGTGACAATGCGGAGCGGGATCCAATCGCGATTGCGGGTTTGTTACTTGGTATGGTCCTATGGTCTGTGTGAAGAGCGGAAGTATGGCCGATTTAGTCAAAGTTGACTTATAGACTATTATTTCCTGACGTGGAAGACCTCGGTGGCTGCTGCTAGGGTTAAAAGGAATTGGTGTATCGTGGCACCAACCACATGATGGGTGATTTACACCGGCAGTAATTCTTTCTGCTGGATGCAGGAGTTGTCGGTAATCTTCCCAAGCGGGAAATGAAGAAGAGAATGTTTTTCGGGAGTAGTCGGTTGCGGGTGGACGGATTCTTATATTATTAGGTTAAGGAATAGGCAATTGGGATTCCGGCAAGTTGCCGAGGACCTTTCATTTAGTTTTATGTATTTGATTCCGATGTTGAAGTAAGACGGGGACCCCTGATAGTTCATGGCCCTTCTTGTGTGTCCCGGATGGGAACGAAAAGAGATGTGGAAATTTAATACCAAAATTGGTTTAATAGTTTGGTTGATGATGGCTAAGCAAGTTTATGGCCAGGCAAGTGCAGGCTGTAATCCGTAGCTGAAAGGCTATCTAAAACTCTAAAAGAACAGGGTCCAGCTCGGCTCATATTAATTTCTGATTGGTTCTCTCGGCTTTCTCCATTGGTCCTTTTGCCCCGCATCTCGATACAAAGCGGGTTCTCAATTACTAGAATGCGGGGCCCTATTGCCGACCTTTTATATTTTTCTTGAGCTACCCCAGCTGCCTTGTGTTGCGCTGTAGCTGTCTGTCTGTTGTACATAGACCCTGTAGCTGGTTCCTGAGAATCCCGGTGCTGCACCCAATCACGTCCTAGTAGTGACGGAATCTCCTGCATCACCGCAACTTTCCTTCCCATTCATGAAATCCAGCCCATCGTCTTCTTTCTTCTGGATGCAACACTACACCACCACGCATAGCTTTTTTACTACACGATTACCAAAAAAATATTAGAAGAAGAAAACCAATGAGATATAGTCTCTTCTTCTTTACTGGTTGTCTTTTTTAACACCTGATCAGAATCCATAATCTCATCTCATCTCATCTCATCTCATCCAATTCCTTTTCTCCGATTTTCAAATTCGCCTTTCTCGTCCACCTTGTCGTACTCTCTGTACTCTCTGTACTCGCTACTACCTATCTTACCTATTGCCTCACATGCTCCCTTTGCTTACGCCTACAATTACAACCTCGCTACATCGGAAAGTTGGAAAACATGGCACCAGGCACTAACGGCCGCGTCGTCCAGGTCGAGGACACCAAGATCTGCGTTGTCATGGTTGGCTTGCCTGCACGAGGGAAGAGTTACATAGCACAGAAAGGTACTACATCATCTTAGCCACACCCCAATCCAACCCCTCCCCTCCCTCTTCCTCTTCGAACCAGCTATTGTAAAAGTTTAGAGGGCTGACCCTGTCTTACTCGTTCTGAAGCCCAGCGTTACCTCCAATGGCTCTCCATCGATGCCAAGACATTCAACGTTGGTAACTACCGACGTCATGACGCTCCTCAACCGTCAGCCGATTTCTTCGATACTAGCAATCTCGATGGAGAACGCAGACGCCGCGCTGCCGCCGAGGCCGCTATAACCGACATGCTAAGCTGGTTTCGCCAAGGCGGTGTGATCGGTATCCTCGATGCTACCAATTCTACCAAGGAACGCAGGAGATGGGTCTACGACTTATGTACTAAGGAGGGTATCGAAGTCTTGTTCGTTGAATCAAAGTGTGATAACGAGGAGCTCATCATGGCCAACATTCGAGACGTTAAAACCACCAGTCCTGACTACAAGGGCCAGGACCCCGAGAAAGCCGCTTTAGATTTCCGCAATCGCATAAAGAACTACGAGAAGGTATATAAGAGCATTGATGCCGACGGTGACGAGAATGAATATACCTACCTCAAGATTATGAATGTTGGGTCTCAGGTTATTATCAACCGTATACAAGATTACCTACAGAGTCGGGTAGTCTACTACCTAATGAACTTGCACATCCGGCCGAGGTCGGTGTGGCTCTCGAGGCATGGAGAATCACTGTACAACCTCTATGGGCGAATCGGTGGTGATGCGGATCTGTCTCCGCGAGGACATCAATATGCTAAGAAGCTGCCTGAACTCGTTCGTCAGTCTGTCGGTGTAAGTTTATATCTAACCCAAAAGCTTTTGTTGGATAGCAAGTCTTACATGGTTTGATAGGGTGACCGCCCCCTCACGGTATGGACCTCGACCCTGAAGCGCACTATAGAAACGGCTCGTTTTCTACCCGAGAATTACAACCAATTGCAGTGGAAAGCATTGGACGAGCTCGATGCGGGTGTCTGTGACGGCATGACATATCAGGAGATCAAGGACGTTTACCCGGAGGATTTCGTGGCGCGCGACGAAGACAAATATAATTACCGCTACCGCGGTGGTGAGTCTTACCGCGACGTTGTTATCCGTCTTGAACCTATTATAATGGAGCTTGAACGATCCGAGGATATCCTAATTGTTACCCACCAAGCCATATTGCGCTGTATATATGCATACTTCATGAAGAAGGACCAGTCTCACAGTCCCTGGATGAACGTCCCACTCCACTGCCTCATCAAGCTCACCCCACGTGCCTATGGCACTGACGAGGAAAGATATCATGCCGATATCCCTGCTGTTAGCACGTGGCGAGGTAAGGGGAGCACCGCCAAGCACGAAGACCCCGTCCCGGAGTCGAATCTGGGTTACACTCCGACGGCGGCAGTCCACTAAGAATTCGCCTGGATGACTTTCGGTATTATGACTGACGAAAATAAGATAGGTAGGGTAGAGCAGGACAACTACTACTACTAGATGATCTGGCGGATTGGTTCAGAGGGGCGCATTAACGGATGAATACATTGTTACGGTTCTTGTTTTGGCAACCGGCTTTGTGGATAAAAAGGAACCGCCGCATATTAATATACATAGAGTGGGGTGGGCTGCTTGCATGAAATACGTGTCCGATGTTGTAAATATATTTACAGACCTTTTTGTATATCCCATGGGCACTAGATTATTGGTAACGGTCAAAAAATGGGTTAATAATGACTCTACTTCTTCATTCCTTACAGGTGTACATAATGCTATATCCTAAGGGGAATACTTCTACATTAAAATCACACGTACTCTATTTCACTGTTACAGTATCTGTATCGCGCAATGAGAGCTAAAATGTTCGAGTTGAAGTAAGTTCCGATTGCTTGAGAGGCTGGACGTGAGTATGTTGGATACCACGTCAACCCCTTTTCTACCTTAAATTACTTCATTGCTCTTTAGACACACCTATGCCTCCAACGCCATCAGATGTGAGAGATACAAGAAATATACATCTCCACGCGAGAGCCCCCATCAACACTCGCCAACATTATTTCACTTGATTAATCAAGCACCAATTACTTCCTAATAACTAACATACGTTGTAGGTGGGTAAACTGCCGCCCTGGTAAATAAAGCCGGCCTCCCACTGTGGCTCGTCCGAGCTGATGAGGGTGCCAGCCTGGCCGCCGGATACGCATAGGGCTTCAGCTGAGGCGAGCTGGCTGCCGACGAAGTTGGTGTCGGTCGACAGTTGTTGACATAAGGCACAAAAGGAGCCCCAACACGTTCCGTATTGGAACAATAGGCACGCGTTGGGTGCCACTATGAGGGGTTGGTCTAGTGTAAACACCTCATCGATTACGTTGTTGCAGTCGCTGTCACCAGGTGGGGGGTTCTATGAACAAGGGACGAAATATTAGTAAAGGAATGGGCGTAAGTAAGACGAGACGGGTGGATGGAAGACTTGAGCTTCGACGTGGTCTTTTGAAGATGGCATCTAATTGTGAGGAAAAGGGGGACAAGAGGCGAGGGACGTACCGAGTTCCTGCATTCATAGAAGTCACCAGCGGTGGATTGGCGCGATGATAGAACCGAGCTGGCAGGAACTTGCTTCAAGTTCACCTTATCGAGGTGTAGCGACGGCTGGACAGTCTCAATTTCATACACGGGCTGTGGCCGGCGGGCTTCCTTTTGGACATGGTTAAACCCATCTACTGCAGAAGAGGCGAAGCCAGCAACCAGAGTGAGGAAGAAGGTTGACTTCATGGTGGCAGAAGTTTGTTTGAATTGCGTAATGAGGAGTGATCGACAGAGGCTGATATTCTCCGGGAATGGTGCAACATCTTTCCCAACCAGAAGACTATACGCACACTTTTTATACTGCTTCCCCCACGCACATATCATACTCTTGGCTTGCAGGAAGACGGCAAACAGATAGGACTACACTCCGACATACGGTAACCTTGAGCCCTAGGACCTGCCGGATGAGGCATTGGACGTTCTCGCCTCGGTGGGCAGATGATAGCTCGCGGTCTCGACCTGATCGCAGCTCAGCTCGTGGTCGATCTGGAAACTGGCCATAATGTCCATGACCATGCTTCTGCTCGGTTTTCCCTAGGCGATAGATGTGCCGGCCCTACCAGTCCAAATCCTGTCATGACCTAAGCCTCGCAACCCCCCAGCATCGTCCAATGATTTCCAACTTTCTCAGCAGCTTGTAAGGCGCCGAGCTCCACCTCAGCCGTGGCCATCACATCCCCATGGCACACCTTTGCGGAGCTCTACCAGAGAATACGCCAAAAGGCCGGACGAGTCCGAGTCTCGGACGCGTGATACGACATGATCCAAGTAATATCTTGAGCTTACAATCACCTCACAGCTACCATATTGAGATGCCTCCTCACAACGGTGTCACATCACATTGCAACGTGGTACCCACGCCCAAGTCCAATAAGACTAGGACACGGGAGATGATGATGAGCCTAGCGCGCCACGAGTACGAGAGTAATGTTGAGGCGGAGAAGGGTAGTGAATAGGGGTAAGTGAAAGATGTTACTGAGGGGACGGTCTATCATACCTGCAGAAATGGAATCTACGAGGACAACGTTTCCCGGCAGTACGAATGCATATAATACCTACAGAATAGTCCGTTCCTGGGACCCTCCGCCTCCCAAGCAACCTGGATAGCGGATATGCTTCCCCATAGTTAATATAATATCTACTAATCTATCTGGAAGAGATGACCAAGCACCTGGGGTACCGAACCCTCAATCTATCTCACGCGGGTCATGAGATATAGTATTGTAAGCTGAACTGGTGCCGAGAATCTAATTTTAAATAAACCGACGATGCCGCGGCCAGGACGCCGGGGGAAGGCAGGTCTGAGAATCGATAGGAAAGGCGCGTGAGCGGGTGGTATGGGGGTTGAGTCGCGAGCCAGAACGAGGAAGAACTACGTCGACTTTATCCGCGAATTTATCCAGTGCAACGGTATGCAAGCTGTAATGCACCTCAACCCGCAACCCTCGCGTTCGAGAAAGGGCGTCGAGGTAATAAGCGACGGAGTGGGAACAAGTACCCGGCAGCCTGGAAGGATTTAGTAGGTAATAATATCGAGAGCGAGGACCGGTAGTGCTTTTCATTTATAACACGTTTGTAATATCAGCTGCCGCATCAGCATTGGTAGAGAGGAATCCAAGGCCAAGGACGGAAGACGCGGCCTAGGGGGTACGAGATATACGGGGTGTGATGGTAGACTGTAGTATTGACTTTTATTTATAATAAACTGAGGTGTTAGAAAATCAAAGTAGAAGGGAGGCCGAGTAAAACTTTTGAATAACGGTTATCGAGGCTATCGTGAGCCAACTTAGATTGATCTAACTAGTTATACATAATATAAGTCTACGGTAAAATAGAAAATATAAATGAAATGAGAATATATATCCATCTCTTGATATATTAGTATTTCATGGACAATTTATTACGAGTGTACATTGTTAATAATAAAATGAATGGAAAGACCTAATATGAAGTTGTTGAAGTAGTCGAGATCAGATTCTGGCCCATGTCCCAATATGTAGAACAGAGTTTGTGCACGGGCCATGTTATTCGGACTAAAAGACCCACTTCTGCTTATCAGAATCTTTTTCAATCGATAAGCAAAAAAATTCCCTGAGCAAGTGGAACAACGGGTAAAAGTAGACAGCCCACTTCTCAAGTTCGACTTCTCAAGCAACATTTATATAACCAACAATCAATACAACAATACAACTAATACAACTAATTCGTCGCAACATTTTCTCAGGAACTATGGAGTCGACAAAGTATGCCAAAAAGAGAAAGTTCAAGGATGCCAATGGCGCCAAAAGCGCCGAGTCAAAGTCAAAGGCGCTTCCCGTCAAGGCACCCAAATCCAAGAAGCTAAAGCGAGCTGCACCCGAGATTGCTGCTGAATCCTCAAACGACGACTCTGAAGCCGAAGATGACGTCCAAGAACAGGATTCGGATGACAGTGAGAAAGAGGATAGCCAGGGCGAGGAAGAAATAGAAGAAGAGGATGCGAAAGAAACCTCCGAATTGAATAAGAGAGTGGAAGCGGCGAATGCTGAGGACGAGGACGATGGTCAAAATCCCCAAAACACAGATTTGCCTGTCGATAGCGCCATCGCCGCCCTCCAGACTGCGATCGGTTCCGATGCGCAAAACTTCGCCGACTTAAACTTGTCAGAAAAGACCACCAAGGCTATCAAGGAAGATATGGGCTTTGAAAAGATGACAACGATTCAGCGGAAAGCAATTCCACCTTTACTAGCTGGCCGTGATGTGCTCGGTGCTGCAAAGACGGGTAGCGGAAAGACTTTGGCATTCTTAATCCCAGCGGTGGAAATGCTGAGCGCACTGCGATTCAAGCCGCGAAACGGAACCGGTGTTATAGTCGTCTCTCCTACAAGAGAGTTAGCCCTGCAAATTTTCGGCGTTGCCCGCGAATTGATGGCGCATCACTCCCAGACATATGGCATAGTTATTGGAGGCGCAAACCGCAGGGCAGAGGCCGAAAAGCTATCCAAGGGAGTGAATCTCATAATTGCGACCCCCGGGCGACTCCTAGATCATCTACAAAATACCCCTTTTGTCTTCAAGAATCTAAAGTCTCTGATTATAGACGAGGCCGATCGTATATTAGAAATAGGGTTCGAAGATGAAATGCGTCAAATCATCAAGATCCTACCCAGCGAAGGCAGGCAGACCATGCTCTTCTCCGCGACGCAGACGACCAAGGTTGAAGATCTCGCCAGGATTTCTCTCCGACCGGGTCCTCTCTACATTAACGTCGATGAAGAGAGTACCAACTCTACCGTTGCGGGGCTTGAGCAAGGATACGTTACCTGTGAAGCTGATAAGCGATTCCTTCTTCTTTTCTCGTTTCTGAAGCGGAACCTAAAGAAGAAGGTTATCGTGTTTTTCTCCAGCTGTGCGAGTGTCAACTACTATGCCGAGCTTTTAAATTATATTGATCTGTAAGTCCTCTGTTCCTAATGCCGCGCCTCGATCCGTTCATAGATTACTAACAATATTCGGCAGGCCCTGTCTATCTCTCCATGGCAAGCAGAAGCAACAAAAGCGGACAAACACGTTCTTTGAGTTCTGCAACGCCAAGACGGGTATCCTTCTATGTACGGACGTTGCCGCTCGTGGTCTAGATGTAAGTAGTCGAAGTGAATCTCGCAGCAACATGTCACTAACTAGAGAATAGATCCCAGCAGTTGACTATATAGTTCAATTTGATCCTCCCGATGATCCCCGCGACTACATCCATCGGGTTGGTCGGACCGCACGTGGCGCAAACTCCAAAGGCCGCAGTCTCCTCTTCTTGCAACCCCACGAGCTTGGCTTCTTATCTCACTTGAAAGAGGCTCGCGTGCCTGTGCTCGAGTACGAATTCCCTGCGAAGAAGATTCTGAACGTCTCTTCGCAACTCGAAAAACTCATCTCGCAGAACTACTATCTCAACCAGAGCGCTAAGGATGGTTACCGGTCATATCTGCACGCTTACGCAAGCCATAGCTTGCGTTCTGTTTTTGATATAAACAAGTTAGACTTGACAAAGGTCGCCAGAAGTTTCGGCTTCTCTACGCCTCCGCGAATCGACCTCACGTTAGGCGCGAGCATGAGCAGGGATAAGAAGGTGCAAGGAAGGAGGGCATATGGCAGCCAGCCAAGGCAAGTCCAGAAGTTCAAGAGGCGATAGTGCTAGTCTGTGAATTCATAATTGTGGAGTTTCGGTTGTGCTTTGATAATATACCAGCTTCTGTTACTTGAATCCTTTATGCGGAAATAGACGGTATGATAATGCAAAGTCGGATGCAGTCCTATACAGCACTTATATCATACGATACTATCATCGAGTGATAGTAATATAGTATCACGAGTATACTATAGCGAGTCTACCAGTATTTAGTGAGGCCTCAGTTTACTCGGTTACAGGCTATGTATTAACGGCTATCAACATCCCATACGAACCGTAACATGGCTAGATGACGTCTTATATTATATTCTATTAGACCACCGATGCCACATCGTCAAATACCTTATTTAGTAGCGCGTGATTGACAGAACTCGGCGACCTGTACGCCCCAAGCCTCCTCCTTCTCAATGCCCGTACTCAGGCCTAACTGAGGGCTGATATGATTGTGCCCGTCCAGGATATCGTAGATGATATCAGCTTTCGTCCACTCCTTTTTAAACTGCTGCGCCGACTCATACATAAGCTCGGGGTCTAGTTCGCTGACGAGGATGCTGATCTTGACACCTGGTAGAACCGGCTCTGCGTCCTTCTTTTTCTCCTTCTCCAGAATGCCGAGGGACGAGTTCTCCCAGATTTTGCCCTCCCCTAAGTATGCTCGTAGGATCGCGTTGTCGTCACCGCCCCAATGGAACGGTACGCCGAGCAGTATCACACCCCTGAGTAGCACGCCCGGGCCCTTCCGCTCCTCGGATACAACTGCCTCCCTAGACTCTTTGAACTCAGGGTCTAGGAGGTACGTCGTAACGTGGATACCTCCAGCAGAATTACCCAGTAGGAACAAGTCAATAGACTCATACCCCTCCTGCTTCGTCAACTCCTTCGCGATCCAATCGACGACAAGCTTAACATCCTCGCCGCCGGAGGGATACTTGGCGCCGTGAGAAATGAGGCGGTAGTCCGGGACGATAACAGTAAAACCATAGCGGGAAGCGAAGAAGTGGCCAACATTCTTAAACACCAGGCCGTGGGCATACTCTTCGTTTATCTTACTGCCGCCTACGAACCCGCCTCCGTATAGAAAGATGAACACGGGCTTCGCGCGGAACTGCGGGGCCGCTTTACCCTGGTCAGGGTAGTAGACGTCTAGCTGCTGTCGTGGAGTGCTCCCGTACTTATGCGTCTCGCGTCGCGTAGACTTGATCTCGGTCTCCTTCGCGAGGACGAGCGGTGCGTAAGCCGCAAAAGTAGGTAGCAGCAGATCATCGATTCCGCGCCCGAGAGGTCGCAGCTTGTCCATTGTGTGTGCTACGCGTACGAGGTAGTATATCTGAACTAACTACCTAAACTACTGCGAAGTGTGGTGGTTTTTCAGGGTTTTCAGGGTCCAACAGATTAGAAAGATGGTTGGTGGAGAGGTTTAAGACGACGGCCCCAGTTCAGATCGAATGGATAATATCGATCTTTACCGTAGCATTCGGTGGATTATTTGCATATGGATGCGGGGAATGACATGCAGCTCATAAACCCATAAACCCATAAACCCGGCACCAGCATCGTTATTCCTCCATTGATCCTAGCGAGACGGGAAGTTGGACGTTGTCGTACGGTGACTTTCGGCATTTCTGTCCTACAGTCCTATAGAGGCCACGACAAATAGTTACCGAGCGGACTTACATAGTAGCTATGTATAAGACGAGGCCGCGCTAGGCTTGATTCTACTGTTATTATTGGATCACGTTATACCCCTTTTGTTTGCTATCGGTGTCACTGTTAGAATGGAGACAACTCCTAGTTAATAGTTAAAGCAAACTCTAGTTCTCAGCGCTTAACCCAAGTCGGGAGCGTATATAAAAATGGTATTTGATTTACTATAACTAGTAAGTATATTTACTATAATTAATAAGTATATTTACTATAATTAATAAATATATAAATCCATTACAATTTCTGTCCGGCAGTACGGGGCACGGCACTGGCAACGGCAGCGGAACCCAGCACCTTGATAGGGGGGTACGGCAGCGAACTAGCCTTCAGCGTGCCGGCTGGTGCCGAGTTCTCCGAGCCTCCGAGATTGACATCGTCGAGGACGGCAAAGCCGGTTTCCTTAGAATCGGCGAAGAAGACGGCATTCTTGGCGCTATTCTTGAAGGCAGAGCTTTGAATCAGAACTTGAGCGCCCATCCGGGTATTGACACCGCTTCCGATCAATGAGTCCCAGAATGTGTTGACGATGTGCACGGTTGCGAAGCGGATGAGCGGTGCCCGACTGTACGTATTGAAGAAGTGGTTGCCGGCGTAAGTGACGTGAAGGGCGCCTTGATCCTCCTTGGCGTTGCTGTCCGAGTGCCCGATCAACGACGCCTTCCAGTGGTCATGCAAGTATGTGTTGGACACGGTAACCCACTCAGATCCGTGCGAGATATCGAGGAGTCCGTCAAGATCGTCCTTGCCGAGGTTTAGGTCACCGGACAGGTCGCAATGGTCGACCCAGACGTTTGATGATGCATCGATACCGATGGCGTCGCCGTTCTTAGCTAGGACCTTGGAGATCTTCATGTTACGGACAATAACATTATTAACTCTGCGGATGTATAGACCGACACCGGTGAGAGAACTACCCTTCTCTCCGTAGATGGTCTTGTCGGCGGAGACGCGTACTTTGGCAGAGCCGGAGATGGCGCCAGAGACGATGATAGTAAGAGGGCCTTCTTGCTTAGCTGCTTTGGTGAGGCTATCGACATCGGTCACGGTCACGGTCTTACCCGCGGCGCCACCTGTCGTTCCGCCGTTCTGGGTGCAGTAGCCGATGGTGCATGCCTCAGCGGCCTGTCTTCGAGCAATACTATTGCGTGCAACGGCATTGTTAAGAGGAGAGGCTATAGCGAAAGCCGCAAATAGCGCAATAGCCGAGAACTTCATTTTGTAGTGTAATGAACGAATGTTACGGCTCTCTTAATATATTCAAATGGTAAAGACAGTGACGGAGAGCCGAGTGTGAGGTGCAAATGAGGGAATGAGGTGAGTCGATCACACCCCTTATATTATGTCTTGTAATACCTGGAAAAAAGACTTCGCAGTAGTCATTATATAAGAGCTATTTCGCCATAAACATTCCCCGCAGGACGGGATATTCCAGTATAGGACACCATCATCATATGAGTCCTGCATGCTGTGGACATGGCTGTTGTCAGAGAAGTGGATTCGGACAGAAGATGCATCAGGAAAGGTTGAAGAAAATACAATATTGAAGGGGCGTGGTTCCCGTCTACTAAAAAGCTTGTCTGGTCTTGGCAGACACTACTGCTTCGAATAATAGGTAAAAGGAGCAGTTAAAAGGAGGTGATCACAAGCCAAAAGAAACGGTATGAGTTCATCGTGCTTGAAAATGGGCGGATAGAAGCAGATGAAGTGCATACCGAGGTTGAGCCCGGTGGGCGTGAGCCATGACCCCTGAAATCTCCAATCTCTCGATTTATATATAGGCCCGGGCTTTTATCTTGTATAAGGTAATGAATGATATAACATGCTGTCAGTTGCTCATTCGACATTGCGCGTTGCGATCCACCGGGACCGTTCTGTGGCCGTTCACATTACCATTAGGAGATGGAAAACATACGATGAATTAATCCGTTGCTGTGATGTCTTTGAGAATAGTTCGGGTTAAAGACTTGCAAGTTAGAGAAGACGCTTTAAGACAGTTATAGCAAGGGTAGTTATAATTTGTAATGCCAACCTAACACTACTTATCACCACCTTGACGCATACGTATAATAGATGCTTCACCAATAATGCCAATAAATCATCAACGCTGTGTAGTATATATACAAATAACTCTGTCCAACTCCAATGTCCGATCGGCCAAACAACTAGCTAACCAATAATGATACACCATCTATCGTATACACAATCAAAGCTCCGTGGCTACTGCATATCGACCGGAAGAAGCGTCGTTCAAGTTTTTGTTTCACCAACAGTACCAGAAACCCAACTACACGGAAACTAATTAGAATACGAGTTCTGGGCAAATATATAGCATAGCCAAGAAGTTACCTAGCTAAGGCTAACTTACCGTTTCCACATCTTGCCTACAAACCCGGTGTTATACTGATCTGATATGCTCTCGCGTCTTTTGATGGCCTCTTTATCGGCGGGTCTCTTTTGATCGTAGAGGTTATTGAAATCGGGGCCGGAAAACTGGATAGTTGTTGTTAGCTAGAAATCATCAAGTAAGAATCTAGAGACTAAGGGTGTCAACTTACAGAGCCAGAATTGGTGTTTCTACCACCTTGGTGACTAGCCTTTCCGCCTTCGGACCGTGCGTTACCCGAGTTGCTCATGTTAATCGAATATATAGGTAATCTGTAGATATTGGTGGCTAGTAAATTATCTCAATATGATCAAATGTGAGAAGATTTATTAATAGTCATGCTAAAATTTAAGCCAGCTCAAGCACTTGAGAGAACGATTATATAGGATCCTAGAGAAAGAAGCGGATCTCTCAACCTTAGAAAATGGTATAATGCTATTGGATAAGCCTCAATGAATGACGAGGGTTGACGTACTCGGTACCGTGACAAAAAAGCATAATCTCATTGGCAGATGACGGTGACGAAGTGGTGAAGTCACCAATCATAACGCGACCAACCATGTGGCCATACATAAAGGGGTCTGAGTCAAGCATGCCCACAAAGAAGGATAGCTACGATGGCGGGAAAGGGGGTTGGAAGGGGCATCGAATAATAATAAGACTTTAAAGACTTAAACTAGGTAGTCTAACCTAACCTTAGGTAGTTATTAGATTCTTGGGCTACAAAGAAAGTCAAGGCCCGGTTATATTAATTCTATGACCTTAGCTTATTGGTATATAAACTGTATTCAGCACGTAAACCTTCACATACGACCATAGGATTTGGAAAACTCGGGATCCCGTCCGCTCTCCCATCGATAAACCAGATACCGCCGGATTAGTAGTTGGGTCGGTGACGACCAG